TTTCATTTACTGTAATTACAGTTATATAAAATTCTTATATGCTTAGAGAAAGAGTATAGGTAATATAGAATAAAAGACAACAATGAAATGGATTTGGGTTTTTCAAAAAATATACTTTGTGAAGATTGTTTTCTCCCTAGATTTATTAAAGCATACTTGTCAAATAAAATTATATATATTTAAGGTATACAATGTGATATTTTATACAAATGTGTATTGTGAAATGATTACCACAATCGAGCAAATATATCCATATTATCTATTTTGTAATTATCTTTATGCATGTGTTTATTTTGAGAAAACTTAAGATCTACTCTCAGAAAATTTCAAGTATATAATAAATTATTAATAACTATGGTCCCCATGCTCTACATTAGGGCTTCAGAACTTATTCATTTTGTCAAACAACTCCCCCTTTTCTTCCACCATCCAACCTCAGTCAACATGAAAATTCATTACCATGAATTTGACGTTTTTATAGGTTTGCATATATGTGAGATCATGCAGAATATTTCTGGGTCTGGCTTATTTTGTCCAGCACCTTTTACAGTAATCAATAAATTATGTGAGATGCATGATACTTAATTATAAAATAAGCTTTATGTTAGATGATTTTTCCCAACCGACAGCTAATATAAGTGTTCTGAACATGTTTAAAGTAGGCTAGGTTAAGCTATGATGTTTGGTAGATTAGGTGTACTTACAACAAATTCATCAGAATGTAAATGCATCCTGAGTTGAGGAGCATCTGTATATACCACAATTTCTGATGCTTAGGTTATTTCCATATCTTCACCATCATGAGAAATGCCACACAGATATGGGAGTACAGATATCTTTATGAGATGCTGGTTTCATTTCCTTTATGTATATGCCCAGCAGAGGCACTGCTGGATAATATGGTAGTTCCCCTTTTAATGTTTTGAGGGATATCAGTACTGTTTTCAGTAATGAAGTACCAATTTACATACCCACCAATGCTTTGTTATCTCTTCTGCTTTCCATAATAATCACTTACTGGTTATATTTCATTGTGATTTTGATTTGCATTCCTCTGATGATTAGTGATGCTGGACATCTTTTCATGTATCTGTTAATTATATGTCTTCCTTGGGAAAATGTCTATCCAGATTCTTTGCTCATTTGTTAAGCAGCTTTTTTTTTTTTTTTTAAATCTTGCTATTGAGTTGAAATCTTAGTAATCATCCCATCCACCACAACTTCAAGGAACTTTATCCTGGCATCTGTCTGTCTTGGACTTCATCTGAGGAACTGCGAACTGAAGGGTGTAGCATTACATTGATGGGTTTCACAGAGCTATAAAGTTCCAGTGGTTGACAAATCAGTATAATCTAGTTGGTACTTTTGACCCAGAGTTCTTAAATATTTACAAAGAATGCCAAGTATCTGGAATGTGGCAAAGATATCAAGCTGGAGAATAATTTCCCTTGTTGATAATGGGGTAGGGGAGGGAGGAAGGAGTGAGATCATGCAGAATATTTAATGGTCTGGCAACCCAGACTCTAACAATTGAAGAGTTAACTCTGAACCCTCAGTTAAGACACAGGAAAGCAAATCCAAAGGTCAGGATGATTTGTTCCCCAGCCATTGCATGCCACAGCCCGAAAGGCAACAGGACACTGTTATCCACACAAAATAAATCAGAAAACATGGAAAATTGGAACTGGCCATATACAATATCATAACAACCAGTTCTGAAGTGCCCTGAGTCTCCCTTTCCTGCAACTTTCTTCAAGTAAATCACCCTTCCACGCCTCTATTCCACTCTTAACTCCTTGACTTCCAAAGCACCAAACAATTTCTTGCTCTCCCTGCTGAAGCCATTACAACCCTGCTAAGACAAGGGAAGTGACTGATGAGACTTAAAGGGGCTCATTTCCCAGAGAGTTCTTATATTCTATAGGACACGTAGTAGAACCTCCTTAACACTTTGCTTCCATTATCACTTCCTTGGTGCAACTTCCATTCTCCACTTCACAGTAGGTGAATCAATTCATTTCACCCCTCCCCCTCACAGTAGGTGTCACCAATAGTCCCTGAACATTGGCCAATGAACACTCAACCTAGGTAAGACATGCCATTTCTGGGTCTGCTTCTTGTCTGGTTCTTTCCTCTCTTTGTCCCTGTGGTGTTCTGTATCACAGAGGGCTTGAGTTTCACAGACTCTGGACTGCTGGTTTCTGGCTAGCTGTAGCCAATGGAAGACATTCTGGGAGATTGCAGGGCAAAAGGAATCAAGAAATCAGAGTTTTCTTTCTGGCACAAGTAGGCTGCCTCTATGTGGGTCTAGTTCCTGCCACCAAGATGCCCTGGTTTCAGCCCTGTATTCTAGCCTGGAAACTCTTCTTACTTTATCTTTTTAGCTTAGAAGAAATATCAACTTCTTCTTTTTCTAGTCTCTGGGTTTCTGAAACATTTCCCATTTTGTTTCTGAGCCTTTTAAACACCATGGAATCAACTGGCTGCCTTAAATTCCCTATTTTAAATACAGTGCTTCCTGTTTTCCTGCCAGAGCAATAACTAGAATTGGAATCATTCCAATCAGATTTGATTTGTGGGTGCTAGGAGAAAAGAGGTCTCTTTTCCTGTTAGATTCTAAGGCTCTCAGGCTGTAGGATTAGGAATGCCAATAGCCAGTTTCCAGCCATTTAACCCCCATTTGAGAATAATGTCAATGTCAAACAAAAGCATACAGGTTCAGGAAATACAGGGAGAAAAGAATCCTGGCACAACTTAGAGCTCCTGGATCTAACTGTCACTAGAATTAGTATTTATGTCCCAAACCAGGACACTTGAAAGTAAAAAGGGCTGCTGATAGTACTTAAATGAGGACAACAGGCACAAATTGTGTTACCGCTGTTGACCGGTGACGAGTCCTTGCTTCCCCAATGTTGAAGAATAACACCAAAGAAGCACGCCAAGGCAAGGTCAGAGTAGAAATTAGAAGTTTATTAAAGGACAATAAAAAAGACTTCTCCCGGAGGAAGAAGGGGACCCAAGAGGTGGAATCTGTGGAAGTGCGGTTGTCTCTCCATTTTATAGATTCTTTCAGTGATGGAATGTAGGTGGGAAGGCCCGAGGGGTGGGACACAGGTGGGCCAAAGAAGTAGTCTGAGCAGGAAGGACTTCATTAACACTTCTTTGGGATGGACTTTGGCCTAGGGCCTTTTCAGGACTTCATTAACATCCATGAGTTGTCCTGCGGTTCCTGGAATCATTCTCAGCATGGCCTCCATTTTAGATTTCACTTGGTATTAGACCCGATTTACCTAACTACACTGACTACCTAACTTTAAATCTGGCTTCAGAGTCACTCTACCAGCTTGGTCCGTGGACTTTACATTAATTGAGCCAGTAAATTCCCTTTGACCTTTAACCTAATTTGAGTTGCATTTCTATCACTAAACTCAAAGATTGCTGACTAGTGCATGAGATAAAGATTCAAACCAAAGTAGTTTCTGCTGGTAGGATTTCAGTGTAAAAGACAATCAGTGTTCACTTAAATTAGTCTCCACAATTGCCTGTGGAGCACATTTACAGTACAACTATTTTAGAAACAATATATGGGATTTTAGTTGTTATATCCCAAAGATACTGAAAAAAAAAAGTGCAAGGAAAAACAAAACCAAAACAACCCTATCATTACCAAGGGAAATCTATATCCTCCACCCTGAGGCAATATATTGGCTCTTTGGTAATTTGTGGGGGAAGGGGTCACATTTAAAGTAGGACTTACTTAAGTTAGATTGTCATCTGAATACAAATTTGGGGTCAACCACATCTTAGAATTTTTCCACTGCTCATCCCCTAATTAGGTCCAGCACTGTACCATCACTAAGAACACTAGTCTTTTAGAACTGCTTTCCTTCTTATTCTCTTCCCTTTTCTTTTTCCCATTCTTCTATTTATAGTTTTTCTACTACACATACCTAAGAATCCAACAGACATTTACATTTTTTTCTACTAAAATGCAGGTTCCGTAGGGAGTGGTGAGAAGGGAGTGGTGTGAAGGGAATGCCAAGCTCACATGACATATTAGTTCCTTACTTCAATCACTCACAGAAGCTGCCTGTTTTGCCTATGGCAAAACAGAAGGCAGCAATTCAAAGGCTGTATCTCCTAAGTCCAGTGGGAGTGCTCCCCCACCTCAGTGGCTCAATGGAGTCATTTTCTGTTTAAGAAGCCAATCATAATTCAAGTGTTTGACATTCCATGAACTACATCTTCTAAAGCCATAAGGGCTGATTGTGACTTTTTGATTTTTGTCACTTTTTGTCACTTCACCAATAGAAAGGCAGATATATATTAAGATCTGGAAGGAAATATCAGAGGCTTTAGCAACCAATTAATATGTCTCACCACCATTCTTCCACCATTTCTTACAAAGCTTATTTCTCTGGTCACAAAACATGATTTTTTTAACAGACCAAAAAAAAAAAAAAAAGCCAATTTCCAGAAGTTAAATTGGTGCCAAATGCTTCATTGGAAATAAAAGTACAAAAAAGTAAAAGTACAAACACATACAATTTAAAAATATTTAGAGATCAAAAGTATGATATATACAAGCAACTCCCTACACTTCATTAGGAGTTATTTTGTTGAACAGGTAAATTTTTCTCCTCATATTCTTTTCAGTAAATTTGGAAAAAAAAATTGCTATAGTTTCTGCATTTCTGTCAAAGTTTGTCATATACTGATGTAAAGGAACAACGACCATCTTGAATGTTGTGTAGAATTATTCACCTCATTCAATTAAGGGTCTACTGAATGCAATAAAACTACAAAATCCATTATCCCTGATGACAATGAAAAAACAAGCCTTACAATTCATAACCATGAAAATATATATATATATATATATATATATATATATATATACACCTAGGAAGGCTTTCTAGGAGGACTAGGAAATAAATGAAGGAAACGGATAACTCATATAAGTTGGATAAAAAGACCACAGTAGGTAACAGTTTCACGGCCTAGTTGCTTGAGCTTGCTTGGTCACTTTCAGTGAGTGTCGTTTCCTCTATTACTTCAGATGGCTCCAGCAGTCTAAAACTTTCATGTAGGGCTGGAAGGGACCTGAGCATATTATACATCCGAACTCGTAATCTCAGTGACGGCAGGGACTTCACTCTCCCAACTGATGACGACAGTGACTTCCACACTTTGGAAGCTTCACTCTGGAAGATTTTTGTTCTAACAGTGTAGAGGATAAAAATTTGCAATCCCTGAGGAGAGAATAAAAGTTTAACACTAGGTAAGAACTGAGGCCAAAGGGGAAAAAAAAATTGGCAGAGATTCTACTCACACAGCCACCCATCCTTCTCATCACTTGCAGCAGCTCCCCAAATTGAATTTACAGTGCTGTGTATGACCTTATCTTATATGAAGTACAGCAGGTAAGAGTGGTACATGTAGAAGACTTGAGTTCATGTCCTGGCTTGCCACTTGCTGGCTGTGCAACTTTGCTCATTTCCTAACCCCTTGCTGAAGGGGGCAGATTAACAATAGAATGCTTAACTCTAGTTCCAACATTCTGCACTTCTAGATTCTGGAGTTTTTAGCGACATAACTAGAAATTTGTTGGATTTAAGGACAAAAAAATTTTTTTAAAATCTTTCCATCCATTATTTTTCTGTACTTTGCATATAAAGACCTGATATCTCAGGAAAGACTGAGTAATATTTTCTAAACTGCCATTTATTGAAGTATATATATCAGATATTTTTTCTCATTTAAGTCTCATCATTTGAACATTCTCATTGAATCCTCATTGAACCCTATAAAATAAGTCTCACTATTCCTATGTTGCAGATAAGGAAACTAAGTTACAAAGACTCAGTTCATATAAATTAAGTAAATTGCCCAAGATTACCTAACCAGTAATCAGTGAAGTTTGGAAGTAAATGTATCTATTTTGGGTTTCCAAATCTCTCTTCCTTCTAATTTGTGATACTGCCTCTTGCTTTTAACTATAATGGAAAGATATTATAAAAAAGTAAATTACAGTTTCTAAGAGGACTTTGTTAATTCCTAATTGACTTTGTGGAAATAACAGATTAAATAGAATCTCTAGCTGAGTCAATAATATGTACCAGTGTTAGTTTCTTTCTTTTTTAAAAAAATTGCTCAATAACTTATTTATTTATTTATTTATTTATTTAATGTGGTGCTGAGAATCAAACACAGTGCCTCACACATGCTAGGCAAGCACTCTACCACAGCCACAGCACCAGTGTTAGTTTCTTGATTTTGAAAATGTACTGTGGTTACTCAAGAAACTATCACTTGGGAAATCTGGGCAAAGAATATATGAATGATTTTTTCCAAATTCTCATATTAAACTGTTTCTAAATAAATTAAAAATAATAATCACAGATACCTCCCAGACTGTCATCTACAGTGCCCCAACCCTTATAAGATTTGTTTCTAGAATTATATCCTGTGAGTAGTGTTACAAGAGCCTTCTGTTATATGGTGAGCTAATACAAAGACTCAGAATCTACATCTGTTTTGTGGGATACAATATTTCATCTTCTTTTTCCAAATTTTAAATTCTAAGGTAAAAAAAAAGGATGGTATCAAATTTGTAGTTGTATAATAGTTAGAAAAAGACCCTAAATTGTGAGAGTTCATAAAGACTTCTTCCTGTGGGATTCTCTCTGGGTAGACTCTCTGAAATTCCAAAGATGTTATTTGAAAAACCAGAATGTGTGAATCAAACTAATTACCACTTACACAAATATTAATTTGTGCCTTTTGTACTATCCAGAGCACTTAATGTTTATCAGAATTAAAGCACTGTAAATCCATAAGGAACCTAGATGTGCTTCTATAAGTGAAACAATCTACACGTGGCTCTTGGTGTGTATCTAATGGGAGCATTTACATAAGGCTAACTTAGATCCTTCTGTAGGTGAGCTATCAGTCACTCCTTAACTTTAGTGTACGTGAAAATCTCCTGGGTTCCTCATTTAAAATTTGAAGTTTCCCAGTTCTTACTACTGTAGATTCTAATTGAGTAGGTTAGTGGTGAAGCCCTAGAATCAGCATTTTAACACACTGCATAGGTTCTGATGTAGGCAATATTCAGAACCATTTTGAGAAATATTATGTTGTTTTAACCCATGCCACCACCTTCTATTTTATATTTTACTTACCCACAGAGATTGTGTGGCTTTCCTAAAATCATACACATCATTAATGGTAAAGCTAGAAGACAGAATGTCTTTGTCAGATCACTACCCCCAAGTTTACCATGTGATATTGAAGCCAGAATTAGACAGGCAGTCAGTATAGATAGGTAAATCCAGTCAGGTCAGATCAAGGAGGCCAATTTGAGTGAGTTCAGAAAGTTGGAAAGGGATTGAAATGTTAACTCCTTCAGAGCCCTTCCTCCACCCTTATTAAGATAACCTGTCTCTACTCCAACCTGTTGCTAAGGTAACCTGTCCCAGGGATTGTTTCTTCTCATAGGGGGTTGTTAATTATGCCCCCTTCCTGCCCAGATTACTCCAACTTGGCCCCTCCAGCCCCGCTGCTTCTCACCTTTTGGCCATTCCACCTAGCATCTCCTGGGCCTAGTCACATATGGAAGAAGGAGAGAGATAAGAGGAAGAGAACAGGAGAACCAAGGAAGCCTAAGTCCTGTAAAAGAGGCAGAATGCCCCCACTTCTTGGGATACCATGACACCAGCTATGACCCCCTTCTCCCTCCTGGGAGAAGAAGTTACCCCTTTTTAAACTAACCCTGCTTTATATGCTCGCCTTGGCATGCTTCTCTCATGTTACACTTTAACATGTGAGAGAGGAGAACTCATCATCGATAACCAGTGGTATCAGTATTATCATCTTGTAATGAAACTCTTCTTTGTCATTTGCCTCTCCTATGCATGGAGAATATCTTTCTTTCAGATTTTTCCTTTAATCCCTGTTTAAGAAATGGGATCCTGGGTACACTGGCAATCTGAGACTTAGTTTTTCCCACTAGTGCCCTTCTAGGTAGTTCCCATTGGGTGTTGAGAACAGTCAGGAACTGCTTTTTATTTTCAAATTTAGTGGTAGGCACACACCTATTGTCTATGGGAGTTAGTCCAAACAGGCACTGAAGAAGGCTATTTGGGAAAAAGGATAAAGTGCTTAGAAACAGTAAATATGGCATAGCAATTCAGAATCCAAGCAGCTCCCCTATAGTGGTGGATCAGGATTTGGGCTAAGTCAAATTTAGCTACTGCCCTTCCCAACAATTTTCATTTTGTATCAAAAAATTCCTTCCTTAATGATATTTGATCATAGCCAAAAACAAATAACATGATACCATCCTTGCACAGTAGTGATTACTGAGTAATGACTACTACTCTCAGGAAATTAATGGGATAATCATTAAACACTGCAGTTTCATCATGAAATATTAGAGAATTATGCTCCTTCCTGATGTTGAACGTATCTACATGCATGTTTCTTGCACTCAGAAAAATTATGTGCAAAAAGGTGAGACTTGTATGTATGAGAAGATAATTTTAGAATTCAAATAGAATAAATAAATTATCTATGTGGATTCTATTAATGTCAATTTCCTTGGCATAATAATATATTATAGTTATACAAATCCAAAAATTCTAGGAACATGAAAATACTGCATTGAATTGTGTGAAGTTAACAGATAAACATTAAAATAAAAATTAATAGAAAGTAACAATAAAAGGAAGTTTTACATGCCTCAGTTTTTGTTGAGAAAGTTAATGGTGTGTTTTATGGAAGATAATTTTATAACAAAAATATTAATCACCTTTAAAAAGTATACATGTGACATAAAAATAGTGTTAGGAGGTAATACCAATAAATATCAAACTGGGAAAATTTCAGAAAATTATAGCAAATGTGGATTTTAGAAATTAAAATCCTGCTTTTCAGGGTTGGAAGCCTGTGCGATTTCAGATTTCACAATGCCAGTGGTTCAGTGATAAAGTTTGCTCACACAGACGGCCCTGTTTTAGTGTGACCACTTTAAGAGCAGGGCACATTCATTACATGGAAACATAATGAATTCCACTGGCTCAGAGATAGGACCCAATACCATAGATAGTAAAGTCCTCATAGTATTTTTCATCAGAGTTAAAAATAATATTTGCTATGGGAGGAAGCATAAAGTAAAGAGCACAAAGAGAAATTCAGATTTCAAGATGTCTTTCAAAAATGCATTCTTGTTTTATTTTAAAATTCTAGTATTCCCCATACATAAAACACAAATACAAAGGTTTAAAAAAAAGTCACTTCTCTGAGTTCAAACAAACTTTTTTTTCTACCATTTTAGTTTATTTTTATCACCATTTTTATGATGATTAAAATCAGAAGGTGGTGACTATAAACCTTAGTCTAAATTTTCTGTTTTGTAGAATAATTTCCAAGGGGGGAAAATATATAAAAGTTTTTAGATTTCAAAGCAAAGTGTGAATGGAATGTTTTACAAAAGGTTTGTGGTTAAATATATCTCTAAGACTCGAGGAATAAAAAAGCATCTTCAGTCCTATGTAAAATTATGCCTTAAAACAACCTCACAGAACTCTGCTACTATCATGTCAACCCTCCTGTAAATAATTATAAACTCTGGATATAATATCTCTGAAAAGCTACTGAAGATATTGTAGGACAACCCAAAGCAATCTGAAATTGGAAAGGGAGAATATGCTTAGAAAAAGGGATCAACACTAAGTAGGTTTCCTGTTTTATGTCACTTTTTAAAAATATCTTTTAGCCTGAAGACAGACCCTATTTACCTCATTCTCAGGATGACTAAACCTGGAGTTAAAATATGCAGTCTTTCTAGGATGAAGAAACAAACGACAGGGTTTTAGGCAACTATAGCAGCTAAAAAATAGGAAATAATATCTAAGAAAGGAGTAGACAGAGAGAGGGAACTCCAAAGTCTGTTTATAATCTCTTCCTAAATCTCTTCCTGAACAATGTACACAGAGGAAAGACCCTAAGAAATCCAGCTAAAGCATAAAGGACTAAGCAGAGATTTAGCTATCTGGCTAAGGAGAGACCAACTTTTCAGTTTTAGCCCGAATAAGTTAATTGTCTACTAACTCCACTCTTGGTAGAAATATAATAACATGCAGATTTGTTGTAGTAAGTGATTTACAATGTGAAGGAAACAAAAAAAATTACTAGAAACTGAATCAACAGGAAAAGATTTTAAAGAAAAAAGGCAATCAATAGTGACTGAAATGACCTAGATATTAGGTTTAACAGACAAAGAATTAAAGGTACTATTATAACATGCTTAAGGATGAAAAGGAAAACATAATGACTAAAAAGTCAGAGTTAAATACTATAAAGCTATAAAAAGATCAAATTCTTAAAGTAAAAACTACAGTATCTGAAATAAAAATCACTGAATAAGCTTATCAGCAGTCTGGAACTAACTCTAGAAAGAGTCAGTGTCCTTAAAGATAGACCACTAGAATTATCCAATCTAGTGAACAGCAACAAAAAAGAATGAGGAAATGAGCAAAGTTCAGGAAGCTGTGAAGCAACATCAAATGACTTAACAAATATAATTGGATTCCTAGAAAGAAAAGAGGAAGAGTGAGGCAGAAAAATGATTTTAAAAAATAGTGGTGAATATTTTCTCAACTCTGGTGAGAGATATAATCTAATAGATGCTGGAAGTTCAGCAATCCCAAGAAGAATAGATTTAATCAGGAGACTGAGATAGGAGGATCACAAGTTCAAATCCAGCCTCAGCAATGATGAGGCACTAGGCAACTCAGTGAGACCCTGTCTCTAAATAAAATACAAAATACGGCTGGGGATGTGGCTCAGTGGTTGAGTGTCCCTGAGTTTAATCCCTGGTACACGCCCCTCAACAGAACACACACACACACACACACAACTAGAGAGATAATCCTAAAGAAACCAAAGAAAAAATATATAGGAGACCAATAATATGAACAACTAAGAATATCTCATTAGAAAATGGAGTAGCATGTTAAATTACTTGTTCATAACACTAAAAGACTAAAAAAATCTCTAGCCTCCCAGAATTCTATATTTAATGAAAATATCCTTCAAGAATGTAAGCAAAATAAAGACATTTTTAGATTTAAGAAAAATGGAGAATTTGTCACCAGAAACCATACATAATAATGCATTCTTAAGGGATGTTTATGCTGGAGGGGAATGATACCAGAGGGAAAGTCACATCTTCAGAAAGGAAGGAAGAACATGGGAAACAATAGATATGTATAAAAGCACTTTTCCCTCTTTAATTTCCTTAAAATATGCATCTGATTAAAGCAAAAATAATAACATTTCTTTGTGGCATTTATAATTTATACAGATAGAATACATGAGAAAACTATAACAAAGGAAAGGGAGGAAGAAAAGCAGAATTACATTATTACAACATTCTTATATTTTACTGAGAACAGTAAAATATTAATTTGACTATGAAAACTTAAGAATGTATGATGTATCTCTAAATGACCCCCCCCAAAATGCAAAAAGGTATTGCTTAATTTCCAAAATATGAACTTCAATGGATTCCTAATAATGTTAAATTTACTCAAAAGTAGGTAGGAAAGGAGGAACAGAAAATGAAAAACCGAATAGTCATAGGAAATAAATAATAAAATAGAAGATACAAATTAATCTATATCAATGCACACTAAATATAAATGGACTTAGCATTCTAAATTAAAAGACAGAGATTGTCAAAATGGATTAAAATAGTATTTGCTATCCACCTGATACATAATTTAAATACCAGGTACAGAGGTTGAAAGTGAGTAGATGGAAAGATATACATAACATGTAAGCAATGTGCATCAGAGGAAAGCTGAATAACAAAGTATACTTCATGACAAAAAGTACTATTGAAAAAATAGAGCTTTTATTCAAATAATAAAAGAGCCAGTTCATAAAAACATAACAATTGGGGCTGGAGTTGTGGCTCAGTGGTAAGAGTGCCCACCTAGCATCTGTGAGGCACTGGGTTTAATCCTCAGCATTACATAAAATAAATAAATAAAATGAAAGTATTGTGTCTATCTACAGCCAAAAAAAAAAAAATCATAACAATCACAAATGTACATGCATGAATTTGAGTTTAGTTGTTCAGTCTTTTTGCTGAAAATATGTGAAGCAAAAAAGTGATAGAAACAAGGAAATAAATAAGCAAATTCACAATTATAGGTGGAGATTTTAACTCCTTATTCAGCTATTGAAAGAACCAAGAAAAAAATATTGATAAGGGAGAAAATCCATACAACACTAATACTCTTTGACTTTACTGATGTTTTTCAAACCTTACATCCAACAACTACAGAACACACATTTTTTTTTCCCAAGGGCAAAAATTTTGTTCATCAAGATAGCTCACGTACTGATCCATAAAACTAGTCTTAATAAATTGAAAAGAATTGAACCAAAAAAATTTCAATCGACTCACAGGGATTCAAGCTTCAGCAATTACTAACATTGTCCATACTAACTATGATAAGGAACTTCATAAACCTGTTTCAATGGAGAAAAGAAAAGGATGTGTTTCCCAAGCCAGTTGCTTGACAAAATATTTTCTACTCAGAGAGAAGGAACAGGGACAAATGCGGCTCTACCCTACAGCAATTATATTCTATGACCTCTGGCCCAGGAAGTTATATGGTAAGTCAAAAAGACCTTTCCTTCCCTTTCCCACAAAATGTATTGAAAATAGAGTCTCTTAAATGTAAGTAAGCAATGACCTTCAGGGAGTTTTAAAAGAAGGAAACTTTGGTCCAGGGTGACCGTCGCTCCACTGCTACTTGGTCTGGTGCTTTCAGACTAGTTCATACCATACCTGAGTAGTGTTGAAAAGGCAGAACACGTAACTGAAGACAATCCTGATGTCATCATCATTAATTAGCATAAAGTATGACAGAATCCAGGTAACTCCAAAAACGACTGCAATAGATAATGTGCTAAGAATCTTCTTTAGGGATGAAACCTTCTTTGTGCTAAGTGAGAGAAAACAAGAAATAATATGTGTGTGTGTGTGTGTGTGTGTGTGTGTGTATATATATATATATATATATATATATATATATATTATTTATCAATGTCATTATTACCCGTATTTAGCATGCATATTCAGTTACTCATCTACATTTTTTGTTTAATAGTATTATTTCTCAGTTGGAAAATCAAAGATGCTAAACCTATTTAGCAAGCTTTATTTAAAAATAACTTAATACCTTCTTAAAAGCTCAGGCAGAAACAGTTCCTCAAATACTACTGCAGGCAAATTTCACTAAGAATTAACTTTTTCATTAGAATGGAATTTAGAGTAATGGTGTCAGTGATGAATTTCTTTTATGTTTTTATTTGGTGGTGGGGGGAATAGTGATCTCTAACCTTCCTATGTTTTGATAAAATAGAAGTTACTTAGATGTGGAATGATGTTCCCTCTCATGGAAAGCCTAGATCACTGGCTTCTGCTCTTGGCCATGTGACTTACTTGGCCAGTGAAACATCAACAAATGTCAAAAGCAGAGATCTGAAAGAATTAGTTCATCAGACTTTATCCTCTCTCCCTGTTCTTTGGAAACCTGAGATCACTATGTTCAAAATCCTGGATTGGTCTAATGGAGGAGGAAAGACAATAAGGAGTTGAGATGAACTTTTCCGACTGAGTAGCTGCTGCCCAGACCACCAATCATCAGACATGAAGTAAGTCATCCAAGATCATTCATCAGCATTTGAGTCAGCCAAGACCAAACAGCTACTCAGCCAACACTCAAAATTCATGACAAATAATAAATATTTTTCATTCTAAGCCATTAACTTTTGAGAAATTTGTTATGCAGCTAACTGAAATATGGAAGATAATTTGTTAAACAATTAAGTTATACGTGTTCATCATAACTAAGTCAATTTAAGAACCATCAGCTATTGGTGAGTCAAAATTTTAAAATACAAATTTGGTTGGTGTCTGTGGACCAAAAAACATATTGTTTTGTATAAAGGAAATAAAACCAAATTTGCAATTAGGCTAAGAAGACTTCACTAAAATTTTTCTGGCACTGCTACTAAAACATAGGTTTTAATGTTTAACAGTGATGGTATTTTCCCCATATTTCCCCTTACTGTTTAATAACATTCAAATAGAAAAGACCTTTAACTTGTAAAGCACATATTCAAGATTGTATTCTCACTAAATAATGGTAGTTTTCATTCATCTGTTCATACCAAGTAAATCCATTTGTGAGTTTACTGTAAATTCACAAATGTTCATACAGTAAATATACTTGGGATGAGCAGAGCCTTGCATAATTAAATCTGAACTCATAGCTTCATTAGCACTGTGTTCTAGCCAATTGGTACTTTGGAAGTGGGGGCAGAATGTATGTGTATGACATATTCTATTCTTTGTCTCTTCAACTGAAAGCTCTTGTCTCCTATTAGAGGTAATACTGCACATGCTTGTCAGGGCCAGAAAGGCTAGCGTAAGGAAAGGAGCAGTGAGGACAGAACTGGTAAACCAGAGAGCACAGGTTCCATCTGCAGGAAATATGGGCTCACATTTTCCTTACAAAGTGTTGCCAGGTGTTCCCATTTTTTCAAGAGAAAATACAATTTTTAAGTGAAATCTCCCATTTTTAAAATATATTTGCAAGTAATTAAAAAATGTAAAGCCATTGTGTAATTCAAGCCATGCTGGTAAAATAAAAACTACAGGTACTGATTTTTAAAATAAAAACGCAGGAAGCTACACCTCCTCACAACCCTTTCATTTCTGTAATTCAAATAATTCAAATTTCTTGAATATTTGGAGTTGGAGGGAAAAGTTTTCTTGAAAATCTTTGGGTTTAGATTTTTAGGGCTTATCTAACACAAAGGTGTGCAGTATACCCACATTGCAATACTGATGTTAGAAAATAAGAAGATACACTTTATAAGTCAAAGGTTTTAAGAAAATCTTTCCTGAACGCCACACACCCCTGCCTTTGTCTCAGAGTTTGAGCCACCCAGGCACTATCCTCGTCTTGTATGAAAGCCTCCCACTCACTGAGAATCTTACCTTGTCAAATTTTGGTTATTCTTCCACAGCACTTTAATTGTGATTACAATAAATATAACAACATTGCTGATGAGGATAATGATTGTAGGTATAAGGAATGACCACAAAAATGGACTCTTTATAAAGTCATTGTTGTTTGGAATTGCTAGCCAGCAGCTGAGAAGAAAAAAGAAATTATTTCAGCAGACCTTGAAAAGTATAAATACTTGTTCCTTGTCCTATTAAAATTATCGACCTTCACTCAACTGAAATACCTGCTAAAAGTCTGCATCTCTTTGCATCTTATTCATTTGAGATTACTTTTGAGAATTCAAACCCCTAGAAAAGTGAAGTATGGACTTCTCTAGTCATCTTTCTCTGAGTCAGTGAGGGTTAGCGGAAAGAAAGTGGACATTGGAGCTAGACAGTCCTAGTTACTCCCTGCTGCTTATGAGGTTTCTGACTTTAGGCAAGTTATTGTTTTCATTTTACTTTTGAATATATAGCTTACCCAGGAGGTTCAATATATGAAAGGTACAAGTGGACATAGATGGGCAATATTTTCAGTTACCTAATTTCAATCAATGTTTCTTATATATCCTGCCAGATTTAGGCTCCAAAAACATCCAAAAAATGCACATTTTTTTTCTTGATTTTTAAATAAACATCAACATCTGCTTCTAACAACTATCTTAGAGGTCATTCTATAGCAGAACACTAAAAGTACCTTCATTAATTTTATAACTGCATATTACTCCATCATTTTTATATGCCATAACTTATTTAAACAGTTTCCAATACATTGATGGACATTTTCAAATGTTAATATTTATAAAGACTTTGAGAAATTTATTTAATTTCATGGTACCTCTTTTGTTTTTTGTGGATTATTTGTTTTGTCTTTTGATGATGCAGGTTGTGGGGGTTTGTTTTGCTAAGGCATTGTTGAAATAATTAAGAAGTATTTACAGAGTCTATGCTATGCACCAGACACTATTTTAGACACCAAAGTGTTTGCAGTGAGCAAAACAAAATCCCTTCTTAAGTTTACATTGTAGTGCACAGATCTAGGTAAAACAATAAACAAATAAAATTTATGTCAGTGATAAGTGCTTTAGATAAAAGGAACAATAGGAGTAGAAATTTTATATATATATATAAAATCACATTTCAAATACATATATGGGGAGAGAGAGACAGAGAGAAGAATGTTTGATTTTAAATAGAGTGGTCAGGGAAAGCTGCATGGAAAAAAAGTGATACTTGAGCAAAACTCAAGAAGTAGATGAGGGGGAAGGGTATTCCAGCTAGAGGTTACAACAAGTGTAGAGACCCTGAGGTGACAGCCTAAGAAACACAGAGGCTGATGTGGCTGAGACATAGTTCATGACTGGGGTTTGTGGAAAGATTTAAATCACATAGGGGCTTTACAGGCAAATTCTTGTGCCCTGGGTAAGATGGAGAGGCATGGCCTGATCTGTTTTGAGTTTTAAAACCATTACTCTAGGTATAGGGATGCTAGAAGGGCATGAGCAAAAGTAGGAAACTAGGAATTTACTGCAGTAAGTTGAGTGGCTTGGACCACAGAAGCAGATGCTAAGAAAAAGTCTGATTCCAGGAGTATTTAAAAGTAAGAAGACTTATTGATGGGTTGGATTTGAGACGTTGAAGAACTATAGATGACTATAATTTTTGGCCTGAGCCTCTTGAAAAATGGAATTACCATTAAATGAGATAGGAAATATGATGAGATGAGCAGGTTTGGGAGGGAAGACAAGGAGATGTCTATTACACAGCCAAGCAGAGTTGTCAGGTAGGAAGTTTGGTATTAAGAAAAAGTCGAGCCCACAACTGACATTAAATTAACATTTATTTTCTTTGTTTTGGAAGTACAGCACCATTATTATATATGCCAGAGTATTTCTAAATTTTTTTGTATTGAAATGTTATTATTCACATGATTAGAAATCACATTTCAAATCTGAATAGCCTCCTAGGAAACTCAAATGACGTTCAAGTTTCTCTAATGAATTTTAAAAATTAAAAGGCATGCCTGCCTCTAACAGATAGAATGGGTCCACTCCTAAATACAATGGTGAGAACGAGAAAAAATGTTTCCAGGACTTCTAGCTTCCCTTTTCATTCCCCTATGACTGGAGGACAAAATTCCTCCCACTTCCCACCTCACAAACCCATACACAGAAGAAATCTGAAGGCTCTTGGCTTAGAAGATAATAAAATCCTGATGAGAACTACTTTCAAATCTCTAGAAACCTCTGGCAACTAAGCATGTGGCCATTAAATTTTTTCAAAAGAAAGGCGGGCCTATTTCTTTTCTAGGCAAGCTCGAGAAACAGAATTTAAAAGGGAGGGAAAGACAGAGAAAGAAAATTGTCAATTCAGCTCTGTTGGATAAAGGCAGACTTGCCAATTCTGAAACAGCTATTTAGACTTTAGAAAATACAAGTTTTCAGAATTTCTATTTGTACTGGGGCCAGAGTGGGAGGTGAGGGAGGAGTGTGTGTGTGTGTGTGTGTGTGTGTGTGTACCTATTGTATTTAGGCGTAGACCTATTCTATCTGTTGGAGGCAGACATACCTTTTAATTTTTAAAATTCATTAGAGAGACTTGAACATCATTTGAGTTTCCTACAAGGCTATTCAGATTTGAAATGTGATTTCTAATCATGTCGATAATAACATTTCAGTACAAAAATTTAGAAATCCTTTGGCATGTATAATAATGGTGTTGCACTTCCAAAAGAAGTGTGTGTACATGAATGCACACATCTATCAGACTCCCAAGGAACCTCACACTTAAGGGGGTGCTAGAAGAGCCATGCACTTTGGTATCCATGTCCATCAGGAGGCATGCATTAGGAGGGGACCCTTACCTCCTCTATCCTTTGCACTACTTGGAGCAAAAGGTAGTCAAGCTAGATTTGTTCTCACAACACCCCATCTTTGCTATTCTGAATTGAATGATTCAGATTTTGAGAAATTGATGGCTAAGAAAGGGTATGGATTCTAGAATGAGACTAACCCTTATAGTTATGGAGTGGGGTTCCTAAAAATAAGATTGGAGAGTCACAAGATGGAGGTTGATCTGAAAAAGTTAAGGACCTGAGATCTAGACAGCATCAGAGGTGAATCTCAGGTGAAGTGTGAAATTTTGCCATGACTGTGGGGGAAAAAAAAAAACAACAACCTTTAACATTTAGAGCAGATACTTGGAAAATTTACCCCCAAGTTGGTATAATTTCTCATGGTTAGCCTCAACCTTTCCCTTTAAGAGAGTCTGAAAGCGCCCATGTGGTGGTAGTATAGAGAAGTGGGTAGCAGAGTGTTAAAAGGAAGTGTGGCCTGCTCTGCATTCACCCCTTCACTGTGCCAAGCAGAAAGAGCAGTAGATCAGGGAGACGGTCAGGCTCTCAGGCAGGACCAGCAGAGCTGGGAGCAAGGAAGAACAGTACAGAACACTGAAAACCACTACTGGGAGACCAAAAACAATTCCTCCCCTTTTCCCAGCATATCCTAAAGAAATGCGACCTGTGATGGTCTGTGTATAGGGTAGAAGGTGGGGAACAAGGGCTGAAGATGGACTGAGTACATGTTACACACTCTTTCCTCCTCCCCAGTCACTTAGTGTTGTCCCCAACATCTAACACTGTACTCAAGAAAGGATCTGCTCTTTATTATTTACAGTCCAATGTGAATAAATTTACATTAATTGGCTAATTTCTCCAGATAGCTTTAACAAGAGTGGTTGAGACCTATGCCTGCGCTAAGGTAGGAAATTAGCAATGTAATCGAAAGTGAATTACCTCCCTTATGAGATAACTGCATATTATCCCTTATCTCTAGTTGTGGAATTAAAAATTTAAAACTCTAAAAGATATTGAACCCTATTTAAACAAAGAGAAAAATAGTGTCTGGGAGTGTGAGATCTGGCCAGGCAGCCAGCCGCCTCCTCTGCAGCTGGCATGGCAGGTCCCTGAGCCGCAGTCTCCTCTTGGGTGTTCTTCTACACTTTCCAGAGTCTGGTTCTAATATGAGTTGGTTTGAAACTTAAGGTGGAATCTGAGGATAATAATGGTTGGATTTATAAAATGGGAAGGAAGGATAAATTAATGAGTTCTCGCCATTCAGTAATAGAAATGCATGTAAAGAGTTGACTCTCAGTTCAGCTCAGCTTTCTTCTCTCCCTCCCCACGTAAAAAGCAAACACCATACAGCCAACTACTTTCACTATAAACAGTTAATTATTCATGCTGAGTCACGCTTGACCACTCACGGTAATACTAGAGCACTAGTATTATTACTAGTAAAACTAGTGATTTCCATTTTCTAGATGAGGAAACAAAGAAACGGAGTTACTATGGATCATAACTGTTGTGCCACATGATTTTCATACCTAATGAAGGAAGGTAAACCTCATATAAGCGAGTTCAGATTTACAAAGTTAGAAGTTGATTGCTTCCTTTATGAAAGAATTTAAACTAGGAAATGTCCATGCTGCCTCATTAAAAATATAATGTTCTTTGAGACAATATGACAATTATAAAGTGAGATACATTTGTACAGGGACATATGATGAGTCACCATCTATTGAAGAAATGGACATTTTAAAAAATATATAAACTCACATTTCCTCTTGCCGGTAGTCTAATTCCCAGTGTGAATTACTCCCACTCTGGGAATAAATAATTCCCACTGTAATAGCCACTACTATAGCTGGCACTCCTGTGTGACAAAGAGAGGCACAAGATTAATAATTTATCCAATACTGGGATTAATTACAAAATATCATGAATGAATTAGACATCAGACCCTCTTCAGGATGCATTGTTCTTTCCACTGTGGACAATACACTGATCCACAAATGCAGGTCATCAGTATTCATAATTTTTCTGAGCTTTCTTTTCTCTTTTAGTGTTAGCTGTACCTACCAATCCTATACTATTTTTGATTTCTTTGTAGCTCTTACCACAATATCCATCATAAATGGCTTAATTCCTCTTTCATTTGAATAAATTGAAATTTGAATATCACTAAAACAATTATTTCTGCTAACTTAATAAACTTTTCAAATAATTATTCTTAAAGGATCACTCTGATTATCTTTCTTGAAACGTTTCTTTCAAAGTAGCTGGGAAATTAACTATTCATGGTCTACATCTCAAATACATTAATAGATATTTTTAAAAATTAAGTTTTGAGTTACTGATGATGTATCTAGTATACTTATCTTCATCATATCTACTTCCTTCACTGGAGTGTAAACCTCTAGACAGAGAGAATTCTTAGTGATTGCTCTATTTTCTACTCCCCTTCCTCAAAGTCTTAAAATATTAGACTTTCAAAAGGTGTTCATTTAAATTAAATGGTTGCATCAAAATTGCTTATCCCACTGAATAAGTGGAGATACAAGCACTTACCCCATCCAATTAATGAGATGAAAATAATGAAATGTGGAGGAAGAGGCTTCATGGCCCTGATGAGAAGGAAATAAAGCTGTGAAGCACTGAGTCCACTCCAGGTAAATGTGGCTAACAGAAAATAGTGCAGGAAGGCAGCAATCACTGTGCATGAGGGATTCGGGGTTTCAATAGTGTCCTCTGTGAGCATTTGATTATCATCAAAGTCAATATCTATGTCACTCTCTCTTGTATTCAAGTTTTTATTGGAGTTTTCAATACCAAACACAAAAATCAGGTTGAATATCAACATCGATGTGCACAGACTAACCATCACCCAGGTGACTGAGGTTTTTCTGACTTTCCTAAAAATAAACAGTAGAAATGATGAAATGAAAGTAATACAACTCCAAGAAAAATAAACACCAGTGAAATTGTGAAGAAGTAAAGGGATATTATTACCCACTGTAAATCCAACTCGTAGCTCAACTCACAGACCAGCTGGTAAATTTACCTTCCTAATTGCACCAGAAAAACATGGTGTGTTCTTTTCTCATTCCTACAAAGTAGTGAGTTACAGGGAACAGGTTGATGCATCCTTTCTTGAAACTGTGCTGATTAAAAATTGTCAGTCTGTTTTCTGTCACTGTGACAAAATACCTGATATGAATCACTTAAAAGGAAGAAAGACATTTATTTTGGCTCATGGTTTCAGAGGTTTCAGTCCATGGCCAGAGAGCTCTACTGCTTTTTTTGTGGGGGCAGGGGGTGTACCACAGTTGAACTCAGGGGCACTCAACCCCTAAGCTACATCCCCAGCCCTATTTTGTGTTTTATTTAGAGGCAGGGTCTCACTGAGTTGCTTAGTGCCTCAACATTGCTGAGGCTAGCTTTGAACTCGTGATCCTCCTTCCTTAGCTTCCCCAGCCACTGGGATTGCAGGTCTGCGCCACTGGGATTGCAGGTCTGCACCACTGCGCCCAGTGGTTCTACTGCTTTTAAGCCTGTCGTGAGGCAGAACCTCATAGTAGGGAGAGCATAATGAAGTAAAGAGAGAGGAAGAGTCTGGAGTCCCAGTATTCCCTTTCAGGTCATGCTCCCAGTGACCTACTTACTTCAATTAGGCCTCACTTTCTTTAAACAAAACAAACAAACAACAACAACAACAACAACAACATATATATATATATATATATATATATATATATATATATATATATATATATATATATAATTCTTAGGTAGACTAAATACTTTATTTATTTATTTATTTATTTATTTTTATGGGTTGAGGATTGAACCCAGCATCTCACATGTGCTAGGTGAGTGCTTTACCACTGAGCCACAATCCCAGCCCTAGGTTTCACTTCCTAAAGCTTCTACTACCTCCCAATAGCACCAACAGCTAGGAACCAATCCTTCAATATATAAACTTTTCCAGGACATTTTAGGTCTAAACTATAACAAAAGCAATACTTAATCTCCAAAACTGGCTCCCAGTGAACCCTAATTCCAGTGTTAAATGCCTTGTGTAATTTCTCCCAGACCTGCCCTCTATTTTGATGTAACTAATACATCCAAGAATCAAGAATACAACAGAAAGCCTGGCAGCTGGGATGGGCTTATCCATTAGGCACCATAATGCTTAGGGTCCACAATAATTTCATGGCCCATAACAAAGTTTTAACTTTGGCTCTGTGGTAGAGCACTTGCCTACCATGTGTGAGGCACTGGGTTCAATTCTCAGCACCACATATAAATAAATAAAATAAATATCCATTGACAACTAAAAAATATTCAAAACAAAGAAAAAAAACTAGAAGAAAAAAAGCTAGGTGTGTTGGCGTATGCCTGTAATCCCAGTGACTTGGGAGGTTGAGGCAGGAGGATAGTAAGTTCAAGGTCAGCCTCAGCAACTTAGTGAAGCTCTAAGCAACTTAGCAAGACCCTGACGCAAAATAAAAAAAAAAAATTAAAAGGACAGGAAATGTGGCTTAGTGGTTAAGCGCCCATGGGTTCAATTCCAGGTAACAAACAAACCAGAAGCACTTTTAGGTAGATTCAAAAATTTTAATACATTCATCTTATATCAAAGCCATCATAAAATACACAAGTCATAACCCAGCATCCTGAGAAATTTTCCTATTGTTCTCCTTGGCATTCTGAGACACCACAGAAAAGGCTCAGCGGCCATACTGAAGAAACTACATGGAGCTGCTCTGAGTACATGGAAAGGGAGAAAGATTCAGCTGCCCCAGAATCCAGGGTGAGCTTCCAGATGAATTGGCCCCAGCCACCATCTGACATCAGTCTCCTGGAAGACCCAGCAAGACTAGCAGAAGAATCATCCAGGCAACTAGGCAAGCCATAGAATCATTAGTGAGAATAAATTATTATTCTAAGCCACTTAGGTTTAGGGATTTGCAAGCATACATAAAGGCTATATAGAAAAGATTCTAAATGGAGTTTTCTGTTTCACAATATAGAATTACACATTAATAGATAAACACATGTTTATTTGCATTCAGACAAGTCTCTTGAGTTTTTAATGGTAGCTTATTTTTAAAACTCACACATTTTAAAATAAAGCCAAATATAATTTTAAGTAAGTATAAACATGCAATTTGTTTAAAACAAGATTATGTAATATTTAGCTTATGTTTCATTTAAAGAACGAGGCTTCCATAAATATTTTAAATCAGGCAAAAATATTTTAAATTTGTTTCATGGCCTATTGCTGTATATGCTATTCTTTAGATTTGAGTAGCCTGATGATCACTAGCTCTTTGAATGGCTTATACATAACAAAATTCCATGTGTCTTTTCTGCAAGACTTCTCAGAACCCTCTTTCCCTAAGTGTCTCTGAAGGACTAATGTTCCAAGGACTATACTTTGAGAAATTTTTGCTTATTGTCAAATGGTCAAGATGTTCTGAACAGTCCTTTTACTATAAAATATGCCCAAGAACTGTTCCTTCATTAAAGATATAATTTCTGGGAACAGAACTAAATGCTCTTCAAAACTCCTTTTATTCCTGCCTTATATTTATGCCTTTGCTCTAAAAGAAAAGTTTTTTTTCTGGTTTTGTCTGCAGGATGTCCTTGTTTACCAGTAATTTAGAAGGCAGTGTGTGTGTGTGAGAAAGAGATGTGCTGTGTGGTGTGCTATGTTGGGGATAGGGGGTACGTGTGGTGTGGGACATGTAAGTGTTCTGTGCTGGCCCACATGTGCATCTTCAGATTGGCAGAGAAAGCAAGATTTCCCTTAAAAAAGTTGATTTCAAAAGCAATGTATGATATTGTCTTTACTATGCATTTATTATTTTCCTTATTGTTTAATAAAGAAATATGTATACAACTCTGTGTATGCTAGTAGACTGTGGGATACAGTTCTATACTAGTGAAAATGATAAAAATCTCTGCTCACTGCTATCTGAAAGCCTTCTGAATTTTCCAGACTGCTGCGCCCCTCCCCTGACTCAGGCAATGGCAAGGCCCTACTGAGGTGGATGGCTGGCGCAAGGCGTCCATCCTCTGGAGGAGCGCAGTATGTTTCTGGGAATGGGCTGGTTTGTTTTTGTATTCCTTTAATAAGTATAGTTGCGATTTCCCATATGACCATTAAGTATGAAGGAAAAAACATGACTTTCCCAATTAATGCAACTACTTCTAAAGAATGGATCTGTTTGCTCTAAATGCAATGATTCAGCTGTGGAGTGTAAATTGTTAATGTCTAATGAAAAACTCCCTGTATTCCTGTCAAGGAAGTTTTTGAGAAATTAAATTAAAATCTAGAGAAGAAAAATTAAGACAGATTAGTGCTTAGTACTGGGCAACTTGTTCTTGTTCCTGTGCACAATGGTTTGTGCTCTTACTCTTGTTTGATTAAAATTAATAACAAGTCAACCACTTGCCGTAACCATGGCACCGGTTCCAGTCAGTAAGTCAAGAAAGAATAGTCAAGGTATAGGCCAATAGTTTGGGACATTTCTAACTATTATTAAAAGTTAACTAAGCAGAAACAGCTCAAAGCAAAACGCGAACCAAAAGTACAAATGCTTGCTTATGCCTAAGCCAAGATACATTCTTCTATTCTAATTGTAGCTACGTAATATTTTGTTTCTTTGAATAATGATTCCTGTTTTGTAACCACAAAGTACTGTGAGCCTGCCAAAATGAAAAGTATATATGATCAACTTCACAAGTAAAGATTGGGATCAGCACCTTCACTTTGGTGTCTGTGTTGTTTCTCCACCCCCCCTTTCACTGACTCTTCACCATCCATTTGTCTCCTGAGACCCCCTATTGGAGCTGGTCTCCGACACCAGACTACAAGTTCTCTTCATATAGCTGTTTCCCTAGATTTACTACTATCCTTAAATTTATAACATCTACAAGTACCTCTCTATTCTCAATGTCTCAGAATTTGGTGAACATGTCTGTTTGTCTATTATATATATATCCTGTATGAATTTATGAAGTTCCACTATAACCTCTCAGATTTGGATTTTTACACTGAATGAAAGGTTTATATCCAAACATAACCCAATCTATTCTCTTGACATTTAGTTGAGATTTCCTCAATGAGTCAAAACATCTTTTGAAAAGTCAAAACAAGTCTTTTGAAATGTTTAAAAATTAAAACTGGAAAAGCATACAAAAATCATTTTCTACAAAAGCAAGCTTAGTTCCTAAATTCTATCTAATTTTGAAAGTAAAGTATAATCCACAGGAAAACAGGAAATTTTCAAATAGTCTGGCCTTCTTATAGAATATTAGCATATTTTATGTAAATTATTAAATGATGACATGTCCATGAGCAGAAAAAATGATTTGATTCAAGAGTTTTAAACATCAATAAAATTTTGCCATTTTTGTTTTTGTTTTCTGATGAATTTTAGTGGCATTGTGCAAGAATTGTGCAAGGAAATGTTAAAGGAAGAAAAATTCTGATGGTAAATGTAAGTAATGATATTCAGGCAAAGAAACCAGTGACAAATTCATAATTCCATAGCATTGTCCTTCCAGGCACTTGCTACAATTTGTAACTTTATTTATTATTGTGCATGTTTGCAATCTGCCCCTCAAGAATCTAAGCTTCATGAGCAATGAGAGCTTATCTGTCTTGTTCCTAGTTTTATACTCAGCTTTGGCAAAGTGATTGATGCATAGTAAGCTGTTGATAAAAAAATTTTAAAATGAATGGCAAGACACTCATTTAATATGAAAGGAGAAGAATAAGAATTAAAAGCAATTCTATATTCTGGAGAAATGGCTGGTTCCAGTGTGAAGCCAAGAGAGTGAAAGATGAGACATATCATCTTTCTGTGATTGAAATAAGGAAGTTTATACTAAAGACTGACCGAGACGTGACAACACAGAATAAGAAGTTCTCCCAGCTGGCTGCCCTGGGGAGCATGCACATCTTTACAAAAGAGTTTAGCAAATCAACATAGAAAGAATGACAGACTAGAAAAATCATAGATTTTCAATCACTAATGCAATCATTTGTTTTGTTAAGGATAAACAATGGAGTTAAAGATTATTGGGAAAAAGAACACTGCACATTCTTAAGGCAGTTCCTCGTGGATTACTGATCATTGACACACAGGAGAAAATGAGCCTTGACAATATAGATATCTGGCAGCCACTACTTTAAACAAGGCATTTCTTAGGAAATATGTGCTTGAAGAATTCAGAGATGACAGCCATGATGTATACAACTTACTTACTTTGGAAATTCAGGAAAAAAAATTTTAAAAGATAATGCAAAATATTAAGAATTAGTGAATCTAGGTGACATCTATATGGGTGGTCAACATTTTCTTTCAACTTTTCTGTAGGTTTTAAAAAATTTTTTAAAGAAAACAACATGAAAAAGTCAAAACAGCAATAACTTTAAAAAAAAAAAATCTGACTCTACACATCTAAGAAAACACTTGGGAGTGAATTGAATGGAGAGAAGGGATTCCAAAGGAAAGATGAATTAATCTTGAGACATTTTCAGTTTGCGAGGAGACCTAGATAGGAATGCCCAGTAGATCCATTCCTCAGATACAGCTCTACTATCAGCCAATTACATGCACAGGGGTACAGAGATGGAAACAAAGCAAAGCAAACAATGACAGCAACGAAACTAGAGGAGGTCCCTGTCATACATTCCGATGCCAATGAGGAAAACAGACAGTAAACAAGTAAATAAATAAATGAATAATCTTATAAGAGATTACAGATTATAAAAAAAATAACAAAAGGCATGCAAAATTGAACACTGAGTGAGGGAGCTAAGGTGGAGGGAGAGATGTTCACCATTCGAAAACAGTGTATTTTTAAATTATCTTATTTTCAAAAACTTGCTGTTCAGAGACTTTTTTTCCTTTACGATGCAAATTAATAGACGTGGTTCTTCTCAACACTAAGGAAGTGTGGCATTTGTGAGTTGTGGGACCACATAAATTTTACATGACATAGTTGTAATTATATGGGATGCAATTTTCTTTCAAGGCACTTGCCACCTTTGTAGTTATATTTTTTGAGCATGTATCCCTTAGCCTCTCCTGGTGTGAATGTCTTCTTCTTAAAATGAGCATGTTGAACTGAGTTCCCTTCCAGTTCAGAAAAACTGCATTCACATGAGACTATGCAGAGTTAATTGTATATGATTCACAATTTCCCTTATAAGCAGCACCTTCTTTTCCCTTACCTGGTGACAATCTGAAAGATAATTGTGAGAGCCAGACCAGTAATGGACAGGGCACATCCAATGTTGGACAATATGTCTAGTGACTCAGGATACTTATAATCCTTTTTGAAAGTCTGAAAGACAAATCGACTAATATTTTAAAATAGCCATCTCCAAAATGTCAATAGAAGTCAATCACAAACAGTTAAGTGGATACAAAATAATCAGAGTTGCCAGATATCTCTTCTTTTCATACAACCATTGATAAATTTTTAAATGAAATAAATTAGCCTCTTACATCCAAATAATTTACATGAAGCAGAGACTTGCTTTTATCAACACTTCTCCTTTCAGTCTTAACACTCCATACCCTGATTTTTCTATTTAATCTAAGGTGAGACTCTACATAAGCTAAAACCCAAAGTCAGTTCCAATTAGCACCTACCAAAATTGTGTGTATGGAAAATTCTCATCATTAAGAGATTACGAGGTGCATCCTTACCATCAACACAGCAAAGTTAGTGGTATGGTTGCAGCGGCAGCCCAGGAATCCATCAGTACCCTTGTCTTTGTAACAACCATAGGTATCCCAATCTTTTGTTAAAAAATTCCAGTAAACACAGGCATAGGCATGCAGTTGGTATTCTTTTTGATTGTACTGTGAATTGACAGAACAATTACAATTACTGATATTTTAATGATCAATTGAAAAAAAAAAAAAATCTAACAACAGCCAGGCACATTGGCATATGCAAGGCCTGTAATCCCAGTGGCTCTGGAGGTGGAGGCAGGAGGATTGCAGGTTTAAAGCCAGCCTCAGCAACTTAGCAAGGCTGTAAGTAATTTAGTGTGATCCTGTCTCAAAATAAAAATAAATAAATAAAAAGGGCTGGGGACGTGGTTCAGTGTTAAGCACTCCTGGTTCAATCCCTGGTACAAAAAAAAAAAAGATAATTATAACAAAAATCACATATGTACTTAGCATTTTTATTATAGATTGCAGAGGGAAACTATATAAAATTCAAATTACCTAACTTTGTATTTAGCTAATTTGATAAAAGATTAGGTGGAAGAAAGATTTAAATTAAATGAATAGTTTGAAAAATCTTTCAAAAATATTTTTTTGTAGATTTTTTTTAATATTTATTTTTTAGTTGTAGGTGGACACAATATCTTTATTTTATTTTTATGTGGTGCTGAGGATCGAACCTAGGACCTCGCACGTGCTAGGTGAGCGCACTACCACTACCATACCACTGAGCCACAACCCCAGCACCTGTGGATTTTTTTTTAAACCAAATTATGCCTGCTTTTGTTATCAAGAGTGGCCTGAATTTTCTATTTTTGTAACCAGGATCACTCACCTTTGGGCTAAAGACCATTTCAACAGAAAGAGTCTGATCTTGATCATTTTCATTCACTTTGCTTGAGATAATTTTTTGACTAAAATTTGATTTAGCTGTAAAGGTTTTTGATTGAAAAAGCTTATTGTTTTGATATAGTACAAAGCCACATGCCTTAGTACCTGTGGGAGAGACAATAAAAACATAAAAAAAAAAAAAAACTCTAGGGCAAACAAGAAAAAGAATTCCATGTCATTGCTGAACTGCATGGTTACTTAATATGTGAGTCAGGTATAGTGGATCCAGTTGCGTCTGAGCCTTTATTTAATTGCAATAGTTATTGTGATATTATGACATACACATTTTGGTTGTCATCCATGGTTCCTGGCTCTTAACTCCCTATCCAAGACAGTCATAGAAACTAGAATTTTCTATTCCCAAGATGAGTCACATAAATGCTAGTTTTCCTCCACCTTTCTATCTCAGAGCTGGCCATCAAGAAATTCTCTGACCTATTTGATCTGATAGATCATAAGACCCCCATTTCAGAGAGGGTCCTGCTCCAGACCCAAGAAGAAAGGAATGCTGCACAGCGGAGCCAAGAGGAATCTGAACAGACAGACCTCCCTGGGTTTCCCTACTCCGTCTATTAGTATTAGATCCTGGACATTCACATCTCTGTACAGTTGCTCACACTTCAATAATGCCTGTGCAATTCCTTACATCTACTCTACTCATTTTTCTTCTATTTTGATGAAATTCCCTCTCCCCCTTTTTTCCTTTCCTTCTCTCTTTTATTTTCTATACTTCCCTACCCCTTATTTTGGATTATTATTATTATTATTATTATTATTACATGTCACAGAAAACATTTGATCTTTGACTTTTGGGGACTATCTTATTTCACTCAGCATGATAGTCTCTAGTTTCATCCATTTACCAAAAAATGCCATAATGTCATTCTTCTTTATGCTGAATAATACTCCACTGTGCATATATGTCACATTTTCTTTATCCACTCATCTGTTGGGGCACCTACATTGGTTCCATAGCTTGGTTATTGTGAACTGTACTGCTATGAACACTGATGTGGCTGCAATACTGTAGTATACTGATTTTAGATCTTCTGGATATATACCAAGCAGTGGTGTAGCTGGGTCACATGGGGGTTCCATTCCTAGTTTTTTGAGGAATCTCCACATGCTTTTTAGAGTGGTTACACCAATTTCAAGTTCTGCCAAAATTTTAATTATTATTATTTGCCATAATGACTGGTATGAGATGAAATGTCAATGTAGATTTCTCTCATTGCTAGAGATGTTGAAATTTTTTTCATATATTTGTTGTTGCAATGCAAAGGTGGCCATGAGACCAGTCTGTTCAGCCATGTGATTTGAGTGGGAGCTCAGCAAGGCTCTCACAGCCCCCAGGTGTGCTCCTCTGCCTGCCATGTTGTCCTAGCCTCCTCTTGGAAAGAAACACGTGGATTTCCTTTTGCATGGCACATTGACTCTCACCAAATTGTTCTTCATGGACACTTGATGACATAGTGTACCCTAAAAATGCAATGTTATGGCGTACTTGGCATGAAATTCAAAAAAACTTAAAATCAAAAACTCTAAGTAACCCAATCAATAAATGGGAAAAGGACTAAACAGACCCTTCCTTCTCAAAGGAAGAAATACAAATGGTCAACAAACAGAAAAAAGTAATAGCAATGAAAGGAATCTTTCATATGCGCATGCATCGATATGGCAGGGTGGGTCCCAGCATATGTCCATAGGGAACTAATTAAGAAAAAAAAAAGTAAAAGGTAAATAGGTTGAAAATCAATCAGAGGGTAAATACTGGGGACTGAATTGGAGAGGGTTATGTCCCTTGTTTTTGTGATAATGTTAGGTTATATCCTGGTGTTGTACATAACTAAAAAGAATTTAAAAAATAAACAAATGAGAGTCCCTATTCATCCTTTTCCTCAATCCTACAAGAATTTATGAGATAGTTGTTGTTTTCATAGATACTCAGATTCATTAGAAAAAAATAACATTTATGCTTATCTTGTAATTCTAAAAAATCTCCACGATTTTAGATATTCTTTTTTCAAGTTTTCCTCCTCTCTCTTTCTCTGTCTCTTCTCCCTTCTTTGATCAACTTTATCAGAGCTTGTTTATTTTATTAGTCTTTTCTTGTAATCAATTTTTCATTTTGTTGACCAAGTCAAACATTTGCTAACTTCTGTTTTTCTTCATTTCTTTACTTTGTTCACTTCCTATTGATTGTGATAGATCATTTTCATTAATTTTCCAGTAACCTGCAATCCATACTTTAATTTCCTCTCTAATGATGATGTTTTAAGTGTTCTAATTGGATCTAATTTGTGCTACTCTTTATAGTTCATTTCTAGTTTTGTTGCATTGTAATCAGGTACAATGTGTTATGTAACTTATTTTATAAAATATACAAGTTTTTCTTTGTAATCTAATAAATGGTCATGTTTTGAAGGACTCTCTAGACACTTAAAAAGAATTTTTGTTATCTGTTTTCTCTCTAAAAATAAAGTTAAACATACATGGAAATATATTAAATTATTGAGATTACTCTCTTTTTTGGTCTACTTGATTTTCAGTTTGTAGGATAATTGCACGAAAATTTCTCCTCAAAATAGTGTTTTGGTAAATTCCAGCTGTGTTTTCAATAATTTTTGTTTTTTTACCTTTTAATTTTTTTAGGGAGGTAAAGAATCAAAATGTAGATATTTGGGAAATTCATATTTTTAATCAGAATAAAATATGTTCACAGTGGATGGGGAAATATTGGTCAAAGGATACAAAATTTCAGTAAGAAAAGAAGAATAAGTTCAAGAGATCTATTGTACAATATGGTGATTATAGTTAATAAAAGTGTATTATATTCTAGACAAATGCTAAGAGAGTAGAAGTAAAGTATTCTCACCACAAAGTTGACAATTATATGAGGTTATACATATGTTAATTAATTGGATTTGATTGTTCTACAATGATACCTATTTCAAAACATGTTGTATGAGTACACACAACCTTATCTGCAAAATTTTTGAAATGTTCCTTTCAGTTCAATCTGGGATTCTTTTAATTTTTCCCCCAGTACCATGGATTGAACCCAAGGGCATTTAATCACTGAGCCGCATCCCCAGTCCTTTTAAATTTTTGTTTTAAAATATTGGAACAGGGTCTCACTCAATTGCTTAGGGCCTCAATAAGTTGCTGAGGCTGACTTTGAACATGTGGTCCTCCTGCCTCAGCCTCCTGAGCCTCTTTTAAATTTTTAACTTATTCAACTATATTGCTTATTTGTATGGAATAAAAAATTAGATTTCCATCTTTCACCAAACACAAAAATAAATTCTAGGTACACTGAAGACTTAAACATAAATATAAACACTAAAAATATTCAGGATAAAAAGGAAACTGCAATAGTGACAATAGAATGGGAAAAAATTTTTCTTTGAAAAAGACAAAAGACTGAGGCTGTAGCTCAGTGGTAGAGTGCTTACCTAGCATGCACAAGGCCCTGGGTTCAATTCCCAGCACCACAAGACAAAACAAACAGAAAACACAGAGTACACATCATAGAGGAATAGATTGATGTGTTCATACATTATAAATTAAAATATTGGATGGTAAAAGACACACACACACACACACCTCAAAGAATTAGTATTCAGGAACCATAAAGAATTTCTAACAACCCAAAATTTCAAAACAAATAGAATCCACATGAAAAATAATCATTCTAATAGTCACAGGATAAGAAATCTGAATGTTTGACAAACACATGGAAATATGCTCAGATCAAGGAACAGAAAAAAACATGTGATTGTCAAGCCAAAGTGACTCCATTTTGTTTTGTAACTCCATTTTGTAAAACAACCATGCCAAGTAGAAGGGTCAAGACCAGGACAAGATGTTCTTTTCCTTTTGCAACAGAAACCTTTAAGAACACGGAACTACCTAATGGGGCATTGTTTCTGTAACTAGGGTAACAGGGCTCTGTTTCTGTAACTGGGGTAACTGGACTAATTGTGATTGGCTAAACATCCCTCCACCTGACTGCACTCTCCCACTTCTGTAACTTGGCTTGCTTGCATTGGCTAGACCCCCAAACATCCCTTTTTGGGTTTTCAGGCTTATAAGGAGCGCCCTTGCAATTGTTCAGGGCTGATCAGGGGAACAGCTTTGTGTTCTGGTCAGTCGCCACCTGTGTACTTCAATAAAGGCTTGAATTCAATAATATGTGAGTGGTCTGGAAGTCAATTTATGAAACCCCAGGACGATGCTTTAATTATAACAAACATACCATTGAACTTTCAAGCTGCAAAAAGAAAATAACAGTATCTGTTTTACACTCATCATATAGGCAAAGTTAATAAACTTGCTAACACATACATGGATTGAGTTCCAAAAAAGGTAGCAAGTTTAAGAAAGTGGGTCTGGGGCTATGGTTCAGTGGCAGAGTGCTTGCCTAACATGTGTGAGGCACTGGGTTCCATCCTTAGCACCACATAAAAATAAACAAATAATACAAAGGCATCTACAACTCACAATTTTTTTTTTTAGTTTTAAGAAAGCAAGATCCATACAACATAATACCATTTATGTAAATATTAAAACATCTTCAATAGTAAGAGATATCACTTATTTATCCATAAACATGCAGCAAACATTTGAAGACAACCATGAAAATGATATGCACCAATTTCAGAAAGATGTAATTTGTGGGAAGGAGAGAGAAGAAGGAGCAAGGTAGAGGATGATAATACCTTTTATTTTTCTTTCTTTTTTTTCCCCTTCTTTTCTTTTCTTTTTTTTTAAAGGTCTGAAACAAATACAGTTGGCCATCCATATCTGAGCTTCTATATCCTTAGATTTAACCAACCACAGATTTGAAAACATAGAAATTTTACAGAGGAAATACTAAGGAATGATATTGGCCAAATTATTTTTATTATATTGTGTGCATATACAAATATGTAATAATAAATCCCACCATTATGTTGTAATTATAATGCACCAATAAAAAAATGTTGAAGAAAAACCTGCCAAACTAGGAAAAAAAATCTATTTTAAAATTGCATCAGACTTTTTTTTTTTTGGCCAAACACCACAGTATAACAGCTATTTACATAGAATTTACATTGTATTAGGTAATTTGGAGATGATTTAAAGCATACAGGAGGATACAGGTAGAGTACATGCAAATACTCTACACCATTCTGTAGAAGAGACTTGAGCGTCCCAGATCTTGGTATCCTGAGATATCAATTCCGCACAGAAACTGAGGGATGACTCTGTTTACCTTGCTGAACGGTACATAGGTGCTCCTTACGTTATTTTCTGCACTTTTATGTACGCATGAAATATTTTAAATTTGAATAAGAAACACAAAAAACAGAGGACTTAAATTTAGCTTCCAACCTCATAAACATAAGGGCCAAAGAAAATGGGAGCAAAATTATAATTCAGCATGCCAGATTCACAAAACAATACTTTTGCCCTTTTCAGTTCTATTAAGAATATATTCTTTTTAAAATATGTACTTTGGGGAAATATATATATATATATATTTGGAGAGAAAAGAAAGGCAAACGTGTGTTTTATTCACTTTATTTATTTATTTATTAAATTTTGAAGAATACAACCCTTTCTAGTTCTTGAAAGGCCATGTGCAAAATGGTAGCGAGACCATGGACAGCAGCACTAAGAGGGGATAACCTAAAATTGATACTATTGAGTGAAAGTCATGCCAATTAAAAAACCGTTTTAAAGGTAGGTCTGCAGGATGAGTCTGATCCTGTGAGTGTTATGCCTCCAGTAAATACAGGCAAAACTTATGACTGAATATTTGTAAAATATATTAATGTAAAACAAAACCAGTTCAGCGAGATTTTTGTAGCAATTCAGATTTATGTGCATGGCCTGAGCAGTTCAATTTTGCTACCCTCCAAAAAAGTTTTTGAAAACAAAACAACAGCAGCAAAAATATCTCTGTGACCTAGAATACTAGAATTGAGATCACTGTATCAGAATACAAACATACTCAAACGAAAATACTAAGTGTGAAACTAAGGAAACATCATTTCTCCCTCAGTGGAGTTTAACCTATTAATTCCATGAACTTGAGCATTTTTTTTTTAATGTAACAAAGTTCGAGACTTACTTTTATTGGTACTGAGCAAGATCTGAAGTTGAGTGCGTCCATCTGGATCAAGTCTGTCCACATTTGTATCTACAGATGTTGAGCAGGAAACTAGAGACTCACTTGATCCTATGAAGAAAAAAGTAGAATTTTAAAACATAGCATTAATCATGATTGGCATCAGAGTGGTCTTTGCTATTACAAGGACAGGAGAAAAGCAGCTTACCTCTGAACACTGAGTAGCGAATTTTTGTAGACCCCTCAGAGCCTTCTAGATTAACTGACTGTATTGCTATATTAGGTTCCATAACTGACTCATTGCCCAAAGTCAAGGAATAATTCTCCATTTGCTCAATAAGCCTGCACAGAATGAAACATAGCAACTTAATATTCTAGAGATTTTGTCATAACATCAGATGTGTGTTGTCTTTCACATTATAGCAGAAAAAAATAAGCACAGAATGCACATAATCACAATGACTTTGTCACCCATCTAAAAATAACTGCTTTTCTTCAAATGGTCTTGCTTTTTTATATATACTTTTTAAAAATGTTCTGGTAGACTGCACCCAGTGAAGGTAACTTAGATGCCAGAAATCTAGACCTTAATAATTACAGAGTCCCCAGTAGAAACAGTCTTTCATTACAATGCCACACTTCACATAGAGGAATGGGGCTACCACCCAACATTGCCCAAGTATGAACTTCTAGTTGTTTCTGTGGTGGTCAGAATCAACTTCCATTTATTTATGTCCCTATTCTCACCCAAGTGCCCTGGGATCTTAAGCATCTCTTCTAAGTTGTTGATGGTTGATAGTTTCAAATGAAACCACAAAAGATTGGACCCTTGTGCTCTCTGCTTCGACAATGTACTACACACTGAGATTTTTGCAATGTTCTTTTCTATCCTGGCTAAACCCCATTCCAAATGTTTTCCCTTCATCACTCCATTTTATGAATTTTCAGCAACTCACACTATGTATTTCCCATTTGGTGATTAATGATCATAGCCCAGGACTGCTTTCACTAGGAGGAACTAATGACTCCGATCTGTGAAGAACATCATTTGAGCAACCAAATAGCTTCTGTTGAGTTCCCACTAACAAGTGCTGCGAAACATTCAGAGTACCAGGAGGAGCACCCTCTGGCTTACACAGGATAAAGGGAAAGAAAGATGTCCTAAACATATCAGAGTTTTTACTCTATGTTCATAAACACATTCACAGAGTTGCTCTTCTCACAGCTACTTCTTGGACCATTTTTTCTCTACCACATGATTTACCATACCCTTCTTGTCATAATTTATTAGGTTCAACATGGCCCCTGAATACAGTCCAATCCAGAGACTGGCCACAAACTAAAAGAAGGCATCAGATTCTTTCTTTTGGGAATTTTCTAGTCAGAGTAGCAGTTTTATCAGGATGATTTAGAGGAAGTAAGACAGGTCATTATATCACTGTGAGGACAAATACAAGTTCAAAATAAAATATTTAGGAATCAATCTAACAAAAGAGGTGAAAGACCTCTACAATGAAAATTACTACAGAACACTAAAGAAAGAAATTGAAGAAGACCTTAGTAGATGGAAAGATCTCCCATGCTCTTGGATAGGCAGAATTATCTTTATCAAAATGGCCATACTACCAAAAGCACTATACAGATTTAATGCAATTCCTGTTAAAATTCTAATGACATTATTCATAGAAATAGAAAGAGCAATCATGAAATTCATTTGGAAAAATAAGAGACCCAGAATAGCCAAAGCAACCCTTAGCAAGAAAAGTGAAAAGTGAAGCAGGAGGCATCATAGACCAGACCTTAAGTTATACTATAGAGCTATAGTTTTTAAAAAAAGGCATGGTGTTGGCACAAAAATAGAAACAAAGACCAATGGCACAGAATAGAGGACAGACAGAGACAAACCCACATAAATATACTTATCTCATACTGGACAAGGTGGAATAAACATTAGAGAAAAGATAGCCTCAACAAATGGTACTGGGAAAACTAGAAATCCATATTTAACAAAATGGAATTAAACCCCTATCTCTTACTCTGCATAAAACTCAACTCAAAGTGGATCAAGGATCTAGGCATTAAACCAGAGACCCTGCCCCTAACAGAAGGAAAAGTACGCCTAAATCTTCATCACATTGGCATAGGAACTAACTTCCTTAACAAAACTTCTAAAATACAAGAAGTAAAATCAAGAATCAATAAATCAGATGGAATCAAACTAAAAAGCTTCTTCACAGCAAAGGAAACAATCAAGAACACGAAGAGAGAACCTACAGAATGGGAGAAAATCTTTACCATATACACCTCAGATAGAACATTAATCTCCAGGATATATAAATAACTCAAAAAACACCAAATAACCCAATCAATAAATGTGCCAAAGAACTGAACAGACACTTCTCAGAAGAAGACATACAATCAATCAGCAAATATATAAAAAAGTGTTCAACTTCTCTAGCAATTAGAGAAGTGCAAATCAAAACTACTCTAGGATTTCATCTCACTTCAATCAGAACGAAAGCTATTGAGAATACAAACAACAATAAATGTTGACGAGGGTGTGGGGGGAAAAGGCACACTCATATATTACTGGTGGTACTGCAAATTGGTGCAGCCAATATGGAAAGCAGTATGGAGAATCTTTGGAAAACTGGGAATGGAACCACCATTTGACCCAGCTATTCCTCTCCTCAGTCAATACCCAAAGGACTTAAAAACAGCATACTACAAGGACATAGCCACATTGATGTTTATAGCAGCAAAATTCACAATAGTAAAACTGTGGAACCAACCTAGATGCCCTTCAGTAGATGAATGGATAAAGAAAATGTGGTATATATACACAATGGATTACTCAGCATTAAAAGAGAATAAAAATATGGCATTTGAAGAAAAATGATGGAGCCGGAGAATATAATGCTAAGTGAAATTAGCCAATCCCAAAAAAACAAATGCCGAATAATTTCTCTGATTTAAGGATGCTGATCCATAATATGCTGCGTGGGGTTGGGGGTGGTAATAGAAGGATTAAATGAACTCTAGATAGAACGGGGTGGGGGGGCTGGGGATGTGGCTCAAGCGGTAGCACGCTCGCCTGGCATGCGTGCGGCCCAGGTTTGATCCTCAGCACCACATACAAACAAAGATGTTGTGTCCGCCGATAACTAAAAAGTAAATATTAAAAAATTCTTTCTCTCTCTCTCACTGTCTCTTTAAAAAAAAAAAACAAAGGGGAAAAGGAGAGGAGGGGAAGTGAGGGGACAAAGGGGCAGGAAAGATGGTGGAATGCAATGGTCATCATTATCCTAAGTACATGTATGAAGACAGGAAGGATGTGATTCTACTTTGTGTACAACCAGAGATATGAAAAATTGTGCTCTATATGTGGAATATGAATTGTAATGCATTCTGTTGTCATATGTAACAAATTAAAATTTTTAAAAAATATAGTGAGTCTCAGTGAGGATCTTTATGAATAAAGCACATGAGTTTTAGTACAAATATAGAACCCAGAATAATCCAGAACATAGTTATCAAGAACATATGAAACAAGTATAGTTGGATTCTTCTTCTTTTTTTTCAATATAGCCTTGGAAAGCTAAATAAAGTTTAATCAAAATATACCAGGGTATTGGAAGAGAGCACTGAGGTATAGGATGGGGGCTGGCTGTGTATCCTGCAAATGATGTAAGTTGACTGTCCTCTGCAGCTCTGTACCTGGAGAACAGAGTTGGAAGAGCTCCTGCAATGGGTGGAGGTTACCCCTTGACCATGACCATGATAAAATAAGGCCAAGGAAACAAGTTCTAATCTATATCATCCCAGTCACTATCTCCCGGATGTAGCATTTACCACTCTAGGTAGTAACCAGACCAAGGGGAAAGCCAAGGACTCTGTCTGCATTTCAGATAAATCAGTCATTTGCTGCATTCATGAGAGAAATAGACGCCTCTATTTATGCTTCATCCATGCTAAATGGCACTTTGTCAAGTTTTCTTTCCAATTGAAATTGTGCTTACGTTGTAAAGGCATTGTCATTATCAGTAGCAGCAGCTCTTTGAAAAGCATCTTCACTGGCATCCAGAAGTTGACTCACTGTTGTTACAGCAACTTTCTTTGCCTGCCAAGGAGAAGGCACTAATGATCACAGAAGACACCTCATACATTATCATCACCATCATGATGGTGAATTATTATGTAGCAAGTAGCATCTTTGTATGATAAGAGGCAAGGATATTTTTTTCAAAATTAAAGTTTTAGTTTTTGACCTATGTAAATGACAGAGAGACTCAAGACAAGGAAATGTTAAGGATGCTGATCCAAAATATGCTGCAAAGGGTGGAGGGTGAAAATATAAATTAAGATAATGAATTAGGAGGCTTAAGTCTCTAAATATGATCTCTTAACATGATACTTCACAGAACCCTATCCCATTCCTAAGAACTCAAAGGCAAATGCTTGGATACAAAAGCAGAAACAAAATAAGAGTGCAGGGCTCTGATTGTTAATATATTCCAGCCCAGAATATCACTTATCAGTATCACTTACTAGTTATATAAGCTATCAGACTTAGTAAGATTATTTGTATTTTTTTACAATAAAAAACTCAGGAGTATGTCAGAGAGATGATCTCTTGGCATTTGATTACTATTTAATTGACTATTTTTACTAGTTAATCTTTCTATAAATTCTAAATTTTGTGGTCAATAGTCTTATTTTAATTAATTTGTGACTTTAATTTCACCTACCTTCTAAAGGACCTAGTGTAACTTTAAAAAACTTTTTTTGAAATAAGACATTTAAAGGGAATGGAAGAAAGGAGCTACGCCCATATTCCATGGGCAAGTACTGGGTTAATGCGTATTGGTGGTTTATGACACTACCAATTCTCAAGCTCTACCAACTGACAAATGTTCTCAAGCTCTACCAACTGATAAATGTTGAGTATGTGTCTTGTTTTTAGGTATCAGAGTTTACCAGGTTGTCATACCACAAATGTAAACTAGGCTTCAAGTTTCCAGAAAGGCTAGACCAAAAAGCAATTATGCTTATCACAAAGGAATCAGGGTTTAAAAGTATGTTCCAGAGTGAGTTCTCTGGAATAAGAGAGAGATGTTGAGGTCAAATGTAATTGGTAAACAAATTAATAAAGTAACAGAGACTTGTTCATGTCAGGATTTTCTGGAAGATTTAGAATAATAATGATCATTATAATTATCCCAAAGGAAGATATTTGCACAAGGACCCCTTTTAAAATTTCTTTGAACATCCTTTAGAAATAGTACTCTACAAAATGGTCTTAAGCAAAATTAACCTAGCCCAAATCATACCATGATATGAGGAGTAGAATTTGGTATGTCTTTCTACTGTCCCCCCGCCCCCAGCTTCTTTTATTAAAGTCTTGAGTTTTACCTCAGGTTCAGCCTTTCTGGATGCATTAAAGATTTGTCCAACCACTTTAGTAGCAGAAGTGATGTTCTCAGCAGTTAATTTACTGGCATCGGATGTTAAAACCTGGGCTTCAGCAGAAATAGTCTTAGAGTCCACTGTGATATTGACTATCTGTTTACAAATTAAGCAAAAAAAAAAAAATCTCTAGCTTTATACAATTATATCTAAACACTTTGCAAGCAACTGCAGGCCAACAAGCTGAAATTTGGCTGAGCTGCAATCTCCTGAACATCACTTCCACCCAGCCATTTTCATATTTGGTTCTTTCCTTGTGTAAAGGGCACAGTACATGCAGACCACAGTCTTTACTGGTTGCAAGGATTGATTAATACATATGCCTTAGCAAGAGCAGAGCAACTCCAGTATCTCCAAGGACCAATGCAGGTTCACTACTACCTGTTACAAAGTCCATAGATAGATGAGCACAAAAACTGAGAGCAAGTGATCAGAAATTCATGTAATTATTTAATGTGGCTGATAATAGAATAACAAATAATTTAAAAATTGGGTTTGCTTTTATGTATATTCATTTTGCTTTTCTATTATTGTATTTTAAGAAATTATTGGTCAGCAATGGGTTGGAAGTTTTTTTAAGCTGGCTTTTCAGCACAGTTTCGGAAGCACTGGCCTGCACGACCTCTCCAGGTACCAATTGGCCCCAAGGCTCTGTGCTTTGAGGATGAAACATGCTAGTCTGTACTATCAGTACTGAAGCTCAGTGTCAACGTTGGAGAGGGCTTAGTTTTCCACTAGATGGCAGCATCATTTCAAAAAATCAAACCAACTGTTACAGGCAATTCACAGTCAGAAATAATATCCAATCAGTAGACAAAAACAGATAACTGTCTCATTCAATACCCAGGTCCCTGCTATGTGTGAGGTAGGCACTTTGCTAGATATTTTAGAGGTGTTATTATATGTAATAGAAACACAACATTGTAAGGCTCAGAGAGGTTAAGGAGCTCAACCAAAGTTCACCCACACAGCTTGGAAATGGCAGAGTCAAGAATTATACACTGGCTTGTCACACTTCAGATTCTGCGGTCTTTCTTATACTCTGCATGATTGGCAGACACTTACACAGCCAAACTCCCTTTCCCAACCCACCCACACCTGCTTTTCTGTGATTAGGGAGTCAGGGCAGCATACTGTGGATTTTAAAATTGAGACTATGGTCACTAGGCAAAACATTTCACCCCTCAGAATCTTATTTTCCTCTTCTACAAAATCAGTGTACTAATACTTATCTGTGGTGTTATAATATTCTGTATGATTTTTTTAAACTATTAACAGATGCAAAATGTTCATCACAGTACAAATAGTCCCCAACTCACCATGGTTTGACTTAAGACTTTTTGACTTTACAGTGGTGTGAAAGCAATACATATTCAGTAGAAATTGTACTTCGAATTTTGAATTTTTATTTTTTCCCAGGATAGTGATATGTGATACACTATTCTCTCAGGATGCTGGACAGCAGCAGTAAACCACAGCTCCCAGTCAGCTGCATGATGAGGATTAACAGCCAATAAAGTCCACAGTGTACTGTGGTGCTCGACAATGATGGTGTTGGGTAGGCTTGGTGGTTAACTGCATCTATAGTTTATATTTTCAACTTACAATGAATTTATTAGGACGTAACCCAATCATTAGTCCAGGAGTATTTGTGCTTGGCATAAGTGTTCGTCAATTAACTAGTGCTATTACCTGCAATTGTTTGCAATATGGGAATAACATTGGCCTCACAGAAGTTCGATGAGAATTAAATTATATACATATAATTTTATATATATATATATATATATATATATATGTATATATTATATGTATATATATATATATATATATAATGCCTGGCACATGAAAGAACCAACATAAAAGTACATTTCTTCTCCCCCCACCCCTTGCTTAGACCTTAGTGTTAGCTCTTCCGTGTGTTGCACTTGCCTACACTCTTCATCAAAATAATTTAATCTGTATGAAAACATAGCTAGTCTGATGTACTTCCCATTCACCTGCTCATGATCACAGCCCAAGATCAGCATTACTGTCTCAGCGGGTCTTTGGTTATAGTTTTTTTTCCCTATTCATTCTGATCCAGCAAACCACCAAAATATCTCACTTTGGTCACAAATGTTAGGGATCTATTTTCAGTTAAAATGTCACTGGTCTCTAAAAATAAGTCCTTTTAGAATGTGGAATGGGTTATCATCTGCTGAAATTTGCCAAAGCAACAAGTTCAATTCCTCTTTTCCACAAATAGATGTCAACTTTAAACAAATAAGAGTGATTTTAGGTACTAGTTTTGTTATTTCTGTTTTATGAGTATGGGAAACATGGATTTGACCATCAAATATCTGAAAAACAAAGACTTTGCCCAGCATCAGAACTTCTAGTTGCCCATAAGATGGGCCCTGGGGCATACCTGATTTTCCAGGGTTTCCAGATTTTCATTGCAGTTTCCTATTGTGGCATTTTGTAATTCTATCTCTCCATATATAGACACATTGCACAGGCGGATTGCTATTGGAGAGCCAGCTTTAATTTAAAAAAAAGAAGAAGAAGAAAAAGACATGGTCTGTAAAAATGTGCGCAGCAGCTACTGGTCCTGTTCACATGTTCCATCCCAATGTGACTCTACTGCTCTTCCCATCAAAAAGTGGACTAGATTCCTATATTTCCAGAATCCTGGCTGACCTGGAAATTACTTTGAATAGTAGAAAGTAAGGATTTCAGAGCCTAGGCTTAAAAAAGCCTTAAAGTTTCAGCCTTCATCCTCTTAGAATGCTGTCCTGGGACTATCATGTTAGGAAGCAGGTGTGACCTACTAGAAGACAGACCTGTCGGAGCAGAACTGAGGTGCTTGAGCTAACAGCCAGCACCCACATCCTGGATACGTGAGCAAAGCTATGTTAGACTTTCCAGCCCAGCCTAGCTGCCACAGGCAATGTACAGAACTGTGAGAAATCTAAACAATTATTGTTTCTGGCCAATAAGTTTGGGATGATCTAATACATAGCCTAGAAAAGTAAGTTAGTTTCTACAACAGTATTTCAGGTAAATATCACTTGTCTTGCTTTTTAAATCTGGAGTTCAAAAGACCAGTTGACTATTTATTTCCTTTGATGTTTGCTAGAAAGATTTACCTTCTAACAATCAGGGGCAAAATGCCTTTGAATTGGACATGATGGCTAAGAGATCAGAAACGTGTATTGAATTATTTGTCGATTTTTTCTTCTTTATGCAAATCTGGGTAACTCATAAAAGGCATATTTCTATTGTACTGCAGCACCTGTTAGATGTTTTGTTAGTTCTTAAGTGCTTCCTAAGTGATTTGGTTTATTTCCTGAGATAATCACCTAAGCCTCTCTACCTCACTGTCCTTTGGTTAATACTTAATTAGCTGCTATAGATACAATCATTAAAGGAACAGCTGATCAGAATTTTTTCTCAGGACCAGTTTTGAGCAACTTCTTCTTGGGGCATAACTAGAAATACTGAATTTAGATATTACTTCAACAACATTTAAGATAGAAAGTTGGAGTCACTCCTAATTTATATGATGTCTCCATCTCTACTCTATGACATATGACAATTTCTAATAAACGTACAGGATGTAAATAACTTTTAAGTGACCACATGTCAGGTGCACCTTTTCCTCAGTATTACCTACAATTATTAATATCCCTACCCCAAAATAATTGAAATCTATTGTGGTGACTTCCTATAAAAAACTTATTAATTAGAAGCAATTTTTTTTGTAGTTGTAAATGAGGAGCATGCCTTTATTTTATTTGTTTTTTATTTTTATATGGTGCTGAGGATCGAACCCAGAGTCTCATACATGCTAGGCAAGCACTCCGCTACTAATCTACAGCCCAGTCCTAGAAGCAATTCTTAATATGAAAATAAAAGTAAATTAAAGATGTGTACCTTTAAAATTATATTATGGACTTGACCTGAAATTCGAAGGTAAATATAATAATAATAAGCATATTTTCATAATAGTTGCTCAGAAAAGAAAAATAAATAACCCAATGAAAAATGGTAATTCTCTTCTCTCAAAAAAGTTATATATATCAAACAAGCGTGATGACCTTCATGGAAACATTACTGACATTTACTCTTCCTAATTCATAGCACACAATTATGCTTTGTAGGTTGCATCAATTTTATAAATCATTATGTAATACTTAAGATATATAAGAAATATAAAAATAAGACAACAGGTACCCAGAGCCCATAGACACATCACATAGTATAATATGGCATACAGAGTATGTATGGTAAGTAACAAAGCAACCCAAGTCCCTTTTTACTTTATGAGTTCGTAATGAAGAAGCTAGAAGGACCTATGTAAAGAGTAAAATCAGGAATACTAGAGTAATCATGAAATATGTGAGCAAAACAATTTGGATTCTGAAAATAAAATGCAGAGCTACATAATCACTTAGATTAAATAAGGTAAAGAAGTGATAAGAAAGAACGATTCAAGTAATTCACTTAGTTTTTCCAAGAGCCCTTGATATGCACAAATGTTTAAGTAAAATGTGAAATTCTCCTCAAGGTTGTTACTGATAGTGGTTCTATCAAATATTTTTGTAAATTATCTAGAATTGGCTGTATTCTTGGGGTTTCTGGTTCTACTGGAAATGTGGGATTACCTGTAAGATTGAGAAGATAAAACTCAATGCAAACGAGGGACAGGAAAACATTTAGGGAAAATTATGACAAAATAGGCACACTATTAGGAAAAGGATCCATGGATTTCTAAAGGCTACGCCCAATGTGGCATTGAAATAAAACAATCATCAATATCCAGGATGTTATCAGGGATTGAAAAGGGAAAATATTATTTGCTCCTTTACTCAGAATGCCACTATGAAAATAAGTTTGTCATGTTCAAGAAGGATATGATGAAGCTAGAGAGTATTCCAAGTTGGATAACTTAGATGATCAAGGAGATGAAGGCCTGCTGACTACAGACAGACTTAATTAATAACCTCTCTACCTGGAAAGTTGCAGTCTGAAAGTGGATGTAGTGTAAGTCTATAATCTAGACTAATTCTTTTAAATTGAGACAAACTAGTTCAAAATGAAAATGTTCACCCAATCAAACTCTAGGAGACAGAGTGAGCTGGACAGTCCTATCAAGTAAGGATTAAGAGGAATTTTCAAACAAACAATCCATATTAAGGATTTTAGAAAAATTACATCTATGTAAAGAACCACACAAACTTTGAACATTGACATCATAAAAGGGGACTAGGCCTTTCCTTGATACCTATTCCAGAGTTTTAATACTAGTTGGTGGGATGGTAGGTATAACTCAGCATAGAGAATATTAAGCCCAAAGAAAGAAAATTTTTAGAAAAAAACATACCATTTAAAGTGTTCTTGTCACATGTTTCCAAAGAAGTTCCATACCTGCCCACTGGAATTCTGGCAAAAGTAAAACCCATATAGGTACTATTTTCACAGAAATTAGCTGTAATGGAAAGAAATTTTTTTTCATTAAAAATTATACTTCTCTTTTTCAAATTTGAACCCAGATAAAAGTCAAAGTTCAGAACCAATATAATGTAATTTGAAAGGTAATAGAATCTACTGGTCTTTTCTATCTGGTTAACTTACTACCATTAGAGTAACTAACCTGTTAGATAACAGATTCCAGCATACAAAATACATACCTAGGTAGAAGTAGAAGGTGAGCACTAATATACTAGCAAGGATAGTGTATATGAAATGAGTTAGAATCTTGAAAATTAAAAATATGCAGCTTACAGTGACAAAGGCCATAATGAAGATGTGGGTCAAAACAGAAAGGTGTGTGAGACGTAGTGGCTGGTAGGAATATAAGAAATGATAGGAAGGGGTGTGTAGGGCTCTGGATCCCAAGCAGGCAGCATAGAGTGTGAAGAGTATAAAGTACACTTCAGATCAAGAAACAGCCTTGAACTTGGATTCTGAGACACTATTGATTGCAATAAAACCACTATATCAATAACTCTTCAAGGAAAAGGAAGAAAAGACAAGAACTTCATTTAAGTATATAGGTAGTGGATAGGGAGATGCATCTCAATTTCAGAAAAGTTAAACATGTTAAAAATGTGATATTTTAAATAGGATAACATGGCATATCTGCAACTGAAAGGACCTGAGGGAACCATATGGCCCTAAATTTGAAGGAGACACACCTGTGAGTTTATAGAGAAAATTGACAGTCAATAAATGGACAGGGTGTATTGATTACATGGTTAAATCGCACTAGAGGGAAATTTGCCTTTGACTCTTAAAGCCATCACCATTGTGCCCATTTACTGGCATTATGTCCATTAATTATAATTGAAGTTTCCAGAAGTTTTGCTGAAGTTCTCATTAACACAAGGATCACCTAATCTCACCCTAGTATTGTCTCAAGTAACTTACCGATTGTACATCTCAGGCCCTTCCACTCTTCTGTACAAATGCATCTGCCATTTTCCCAAGTTCCACCATTCCTGCAGAACACTGCAGGGGTGCTCGAGGGGGGAGCAACTGTTACTAAAGAAACAATAAATAACAGAATAATATGGGAACTGGCAGATTAGTTTCTCCTTTCACATCTGTGGATGTTTAACTCTGAATGTAAAACCATTACTTTGAGAATCATTACTGAGAAATATCCTTTGTAATATCATCATACACACACGCACACACACACACACTGAGAAGCTACACAAGATGCAGACTTCTAACTAGGTGCTATGCGTGGAGAGTAGGCCATGACTTGTTCAGAGTTACTCCACGATGTATGGAACAGTAATATTCAGGCTGTGCCTGACTCTGAATTACTCCATTTTGCCCAAAAGTTTGCCATCAGCTACTCCATTTGAGTACAAATGCCGAGGAGGAATGACTCTACACCTTATTTGTAGAAGCAAACAACCACTATCTTCCCAACACAACCATAAGGCAAAAATTGGTAAATAATTTATATATGCCAACTTATCAAATTAAATCAGGAGCACATGGATGTGGGAGTGTCATAAGTCACATCAGGAATGCCAGTCACAGAAGCTTATCACCCTCACCAGATCCAACCCCTTCACCCAAGACCCATAAAAAAAGGAGTCCCTTAAGCCTGGACACAGCAGCACCCTGACCCTGTCAGCTGGTCACCCACCATGGCTCATGCCATGCCTGGGAAAATAACCACAAGGATAAATCTCCAGTCCTGCCCCTTTGGGTTTCAACATAGAGCAGTTTCTCTTGCTCATAAGGATGACACACAGCTTAAACTAAGCTGACACCTTGAGCTGACACTCTGAAACTGAAACTGCTATCCATCGGGGCCCTCTGCCTTGAGAACTCTGCAAAACTGGTTCTTTAAAACCCTTAGATGACCATCTATGATGACTCTTTGACTATGTGCATTGACATTCCTCTTTGCTTGTTATTCTTGGCACAGCATTCTAAAACCCTGTGGCTATCTAAACCCCTTTAAGGCTTTCTTTTGTGTGTGTGTGTGTGTATGTGTGTGTGTGTGTATACACACACACATACACATATATATGTATATGTATATATATAATTTTTGAAATATGATGTATGACTTGAGTGTTATAGATATTAGAAATTAAGATTGGAATAGAATAAAAGAACTTGTGACTGCCTGGCTTATGTATCAGGTGACCCATGAGTATTTGATGAATTGTCACGGCTGAAAATGGTGTAGTTTGTAAATTTATTGTTATTCAATAAATTTTGACATTGTGGAAAGATACAAGTGTCTGTATTAATGCCACAGCACATTAGCAACACTATGGATACCATAAGCATTTTTTGTTTTTTGTAGCACTTGGGATTGAACTCAGAGTCTTTCACATTCTAAACAAGCACTGTACACTGAGCTATAATCCCAGCTCTTTTAATTTTAATTTTGAGAGAAGGTCTCACTTAGTTACCCAAGCTGGTCTCAAACTTCTTGTCTCGGTCTCCCAAGTTGCTAGAATTACAGGTATGCACCATTATACCAGGCTCAAAAGACATGTTTGAAAGATACAACACTTTGACCAAGGAGATTAGAATCCCCTGAGAAAGAGGAAATTATACAGATGGGAGATAGATAGATAGACAGACAGACTGAACAAGTTAACGTGAAGACTTAACTACTTCTAGAACACAAAGGAGAGATATTGAGGCCAAAGGTAACCTAAACCCAAGAGGACTTTCCAGAAGAGGTGATATTTGAGTTGGATTTTAATATTAAATCAACAAAAGCCAGATGAAAATGGGAGACTCAAGCAGGCAAAATCAGAAAAACATAGAAAGTTTTGATGTGTCAAAAAAACAGAAAAGAGATTAATATTCAGCATTAGTTCTATGTGTGAACAATAGGAGGACATCAGCTGGATTGGGAAGGGCCTTTAGACCATGCCAAGGAGATTTCATCCTGGAGGAATAAAGAGAGGTCTTCAACAAGGGAGTGACATAAAGGCCCAAAAAAGCATTAAACATAAAATAAAACTTTATAATTTGCACTTAATCAAAATTAGAAACTGCTGTTCATCAAAAGGCATTGCTAAGAAAATAGAAACAGAAGCCACAGACTGGGAGAAAATATTTTCAGTGCATATACATGACAAGGAGATTGTTTACGGAACTGTAAATAAGAATTATTAATCAATCTGTAAGTTAGAATTGTAATTTTGTAAATTGCAAAGAATATACATTAATCAAAAGAAATACAAAATTCCACCTTTTCAGGGCAAAATACTTGAATAATCTCTTCATAAGAGAAGCTGTAGCGACAGGCAATTGGCACATGAAACAATTGCCTGGCATCTTTGTCACAGGAGAAAACCAAATCACAGCCATAGTGAAATACCATTTCAGGCCCCACTTGAATAAACAAATAGATCAAGAGAAGAGAATAGTGTCCATAAGTAGACTCACAAGTGTAGCCAACTGATCTTTGACAAAGGAGCCAGTAGAGTTCAATGGGAAAAGGTGTCGCTTCAACAAATGCTACATGTCCACAAATGAAAAATGAATCTAGACCTAGACTTCCATCTCTTACAAAAATCATCTCAAAGGGGATCACAGACCTAACATAAAATGTAAAACTATAAAACTAGAAGATAGCAGAAGAATATCCAGGTGACCTTAGGTGTAGCCATGAGTTTTTAGATACAATATCAAGTTATCTATGAAATATATATATATATATATATATATATATATATATATATATATATATATACATTATTAAGACTATTTTGAAGTTGTTTATCCTTCCATCATAGTTTATACTATTGTCATATCAAAGATCATCAATTTGTAGCATTTACATGTAGAATTTTTTACTACCAATTCAATTATTTTTTAATATATTTACTTTATTTATTTTTATGTGGTGTTGAGGATCGAACCCAGTGCAAGCAATCAACCGCTGAGCTACAACCCCAGCCCCTCAATTATTTTAATGGCTATAGTTCTATTTAGTTTTTTTTTCTTTTTTGGGAGGGTAATTTTAGGTCATGTATATTTACTTAGAAAATTGTCATTTGACATAAGATTTATATTATCTGGGATAAAGTTTTCTATGATATTTGCTTATTATTTTGTTTAAATCCTACCTTTCGCTGTTGTGACCCTTCTTTTTGTGCCTATTGCTTAATTATGCCATTTCATTTGGATGAATCTTGATAGAGATTTATCTACTAAAATTTGTTTTTTCAAAAAAAATGGTTTTTTATTTAGTTGATCTTTACTCGTTTCTTTTATTGTCATCCCACGAATTTTCTTATTTTTATTATAATCAAATATTCTTCCTTAGAATTTGTTCCCTTTTTAACTTTTAAAGTTCAAATGCTTATATCACTAATTTTTAATCTTTCTGGTTATTATATAGACCTAGAAGTGTCACTGTAAATATATTTTTAGTTGTGTCCAAGTTGTTACATAAAAATGCTTCTATTGCAGTTTTGAACATTTTGTAATTCTCATTTGATTTCTTCTTTGAAATACTTAAAATAATTTTGTTCTACTTGTAACATATTTTCTTGGATATTTTATGCATTGCCACCTACATTATATTGTATTATAGTTAAAAAGCATAATCTACATGGCATTGATTCTTCAGTACCTACTGAGACCTTCTGAAAATAGTGTACTTTCTCCACTTATTGTGGCCATGCTAATATATAAGTCTACTATATCTTGTTAGATGTGCTTTTCATACTTCTGAATCCTAGTTGTCTCCACTTGAGCAATCAATTTCTCATAGAAGGGTGTTAGATGGAAACATTCTGATTGTAAATCTGTATATTTATCTGTATAATTTTATTCAGTACTGCTTTATGTACTTTGAGTCTGTATTATTTGATGAATAAAAACACAGGATTATGAGTTCTTCCTGACTGGATTATTCTATCATTGAATCATAAAACTCATTCTTCATATTGTTCTTTACCTTAAAGCCTTTTTTTCTGATTTTAATATTGCTAACTCAGTTTTCTTTTGTTTTTCTTAGTATTTGCCTGCAACTGACTTTTCCATAATTTTATTTTTACCAACAATGTCATTAAATGTTAAATGTTTCTTGTTAAACTGTATTAGCTACATTTTTGTTTTGCTTCAAAGATATCCAATATGACAATATTTCTTTAAGCAAATGAGTTTAAACTTCTTAAGTTTGTGTTTGTCATTTCTACAGTTATTTTGTATTCATCCTTATTTTATTTTTCCAATATTATTCATATTCTTTATTTCACTGTTTTCTAGCATTTTAGTATTTTTTAAAAAATCTCCTGCAATATTAGTCTTTTGAAACACAGAAAACAATCTATGACTATTTATATTTGCCAAAAAGTTTGTCAGTTTCTTTTTTGCCTTCATACCTTATATTGTACACCTTCCCTGGATTCAATTTCTTTCTTTCTGAATTTAATAACACAATTTAATAATGTTTTCAGCGGGGGCCTGTAATTTCCCCACACCCCCACAAGCTGGAATGTGCTTCCTGTCCCTGTGAATGCACTGAAGCCACAACCTCTAGGGCTTACGCCAAGGCCTGCCCACCACTGTGATATCAGCTTTTTTCTCTGTTTCTGCCACCTGGCATTGACTTCAAGAAAGAAAGCCTGCTTATGTATTTGAATTATTATATATTTATTCATAACATGTAGATGTTTGTAAGCAAGAAGAAAACCTATCCATGGCTATTCATTATGCCTTTTGCCCTAAAACTCATTTCTTAAGGGGTATTTTGACAACTCTTAGAAGAAGGGTCATGGCTTACCACAGTGCAGTTGAATAGAAGGCACCTAACAAATATTGCTGACTGGCTTCTTTGCCATTTGCATTCTGGTTGAAAATATCTAGTCCAAGCTGAATTACCTACTCTACTGTCAGATTTGCATGTTTAACACCTTGTACTATGCACTTCAAGACTCTAAAATTCCTAAATCATTCTTGAGATATAGCAAAAGTAGTACTGACATCATTAAGACTCCAAATCTTATATAAAGAAATCAGACTCAGAAAGATGAAGTGGATTC